TTAAAAACAGGAAGTAACTTGTGTTTGGCAAGCACTGAATTATTAAAATTGAATATGTTTTCAATAAGATTTCTGAATTTCTGTTAGCCTAGTGAAGTTTTCATTTTGATTCACTCCTTCAAGTGAACTGTATTGTTTGAGGGTTTATGGGCGATTCGGATTTACAGGGCTATTCCACCAAATGGTGACATTAGCTTGTTGTAATTCTTTAAATTTAAACTTTATTTTTGTATCTTTTTTTTAAACTGAATCTCTACACATATTTAACTATTCAAAATGTGCATTGGTCAATCTCAGGCAACTTTATTTTTTTTACAAGGTTTTTATAAGTAGAAGACTCATGTGCCATTTAAAACGCATATTTAAAAGCATGTCAATTCATTCCTTTGTTTTCCCCACAAGAAAGTGTTTACAGAAATGGTTGGTTATATGTTCAAATAATTGATATTTGTGACAAAAAATATCACTATACACTCACCTAAAGGATTATTAGGAACACCTGTTCAATTTCTCATTAATGCAATTATCTAATCAACCAATCACATGGCAGTTGCTTCAATGCATTTAGGGGTGTGGTCCTGGTCAAGACAATCTCCTGAACTCCAAACTGAATGTCAGAATGGGAAAGCAATTTAATGATTTAAGCAATTTTGAGCGTGGCATGGTTGTTGGTGCCAGACGGGCCGGTCTGAGTATTTCACAATCTGCTCAGTTACTGGGATTTTCACGCACAACCATTTCTAGGGTTTACAAAGAATGGTGTGAAAAGGGAAAAACATCCAGTATGCGGCAGTCCTGTGGGCGAAAATGCCTTGTTGATGCTAGAGGTCAGAGGAGAATGGGCCGACTGATTCAAGCTGATAGAAGAGCAACTTTGGCTGAAATAACCACTCGTTACAACCGAGGTATGCAGCAAAGCATTTGTGAAGCCTCAACACGCACAACCTTGAGGCGGATGGGCTACAAAAGCAGAAGACCCCACCGGGTACCACTCATCTCCACTACAAATAGGAAAAAGAGGCTACAATTTGCAAGAGCTCACCAAAATTGGACAGTTGAAGACTGGAAAAATGTTGCCTGGTCTGATGAGTCTCGATTTCTGTTGAGACATTCAGATGGTAGAGTCAGAATTTGGCGTAAACAGAATGAGAACATGGATCCATCATGCCTTGTTACCACTGTGCAGGCTGGTGGTGGTGGTGTAATGGTGTGTGTTTTCTTGGCACACTTTAGGCCCCTTAGTGCCAATTGGGCCTCGTTTAAATGCCACGGCCTACCTGAGCATTGTTTCTGACCATGTCCATCCCTTTATAGCCACCATGTACCCATCCTCTGATGGCTACTTCCAGCAGGATAATGCACCATGTCACAAAGCTCGAATCATTTCAAATTGGTTTCTTGAACATGACAATGAGTTCACTGTACTAAAATGGCCCCCACAGTCACCAGATCTCAACCCAATAGAGCATCTTTGGGATGTGGTGGAACGGGAGCTTCGTGCCCTGGATGTGCATCCCACAAATCTCCATCAACTGCAAGATGCTATCCTATCAATATGGGCCAACATTGCTAAAGAATGCTTTCAGCACCTTGTTGAATCAATGCCACGTAGAATTAAGGCAGTTCTGAAGGCGAAAGGGTGTCAAACACAGTATTAGTATGGTGTTCCTAATAATCCTTTAGGTGAGTGTATATTAAGGTAAGGTGCATTTTAATAAAAAAACACAAAGCCATTTTTAAAAATTTGTATAATTTATTAAACAATTGTCTAAATGATGGACCAAACAAAATTGATCAAAACATTGGTTTAACTTTATTTTTTTTAAGAAAAAAATTAATTAGTAACAGGAATGAACACTTGGTAACAGGAATGATTTTTTTTTTTTAGATTTCAGTGTTGAAGTCATGTACTATGTTCTAGTAGTACTTCACAGCGAAGGAGGTGGAAAGAGAAAGAAGGAGAGAGAGGGAGGGAGAGAGTGGGAAGTTATCACAAAAAGGAGGGATAATGGTGCGTTCACGTGCTATATGGAAAATATGATATTTTCCACTTGTGAACTGGTATTTACCAGTGTGTTGCGTTCAAGTGCTTTTGTTGTCGTAATGTGGTAAAAAGATGGAGATCCAGACCTGTTATTTAGCTAAAACTATTTTAGATTGCTTAAGTCATCTGCTACAGCAAGAAAATGATTTATCAAAACTCAAAAGGTAAATAATATGCTGTATATTTTCTAGATCATGAATAGTACATATTTTTACCATTCACAACTCTCGAGTTGCTCTCCGCCATTTTGAAAAGGTCAAAGGTTATCTCATCTCGGCAACTCGTGCATCAAAATATTCTACGAGTTGCCCAGTGGAAAATACCACATGTGGGGGTGTTCATGTGCATTTTTCACGTCGGCTTTTGGTATTTACCATAATTACCATAGCACGTGAACGCACCATAAGAGAGGGTTGCGGGTGTGTTTTGCTCCTTCCCGTGCAGCATGCCATGGGTGGGTGTGTCTGGCACCTGCATAGTATGAGTTCTCTCATGATGTCATATTGCAGAAAGACAAAAACAAAACGTTTAAGTCACTTCGTGGTGGACTGGCTCCCTGGAAGTATGGACTAATACTAGTATAAACTAATACTAATGTCTACAATTTAAGTAATTGCAACCTTAATACTCATAATTCAGGTGAATAGTATCAACTAATATTTACAGTATTATACAAACAAAACAGAGGACTCTACTCACTCCTGTTACTTTAACTCACTTATTTTTCATATGAGTAACAGGACTGAGAGTGACAGGACTGAAAGTAACAGGATTGAGTTGAAATATTAAGCACAAATACATGAAATATGGCCACATAGCAGACATGCTAATAGCATGAGGACACTGGACAAATTTTTATATATTTTTTAAATAAATAAATAATAAATAAATAATATATAAGAAATAATTTAGGTAACAGGAAAGTATGTTGAGATTGACCTTCTTAATCATAGTTAAAATTTCATCAAATATAAATTAAAATGAGAGGACTTACTTATGGTCTTCCCCTTGCCTTCAGAAGATCCAGATGATGCAACTTCCTGTTTGAAAATGTGTCTTGTGGAATATTCCAAGTTTTTCAGAGGGGGTAATGTGTTAGGGTAACAGGACTGAGTGACAAATACCGTTATTTTATCTAAAATATTAGATGTTTTCTAAATTAGAATTATACCCGTAAATGTTGAAGATGATTAAAACAATCTTGTTGTAACCAACCACTTGGCAGATAAAAGGCCCTTTTGGATCTGTATCTGTGTGTAAAATGTCACCAATATATTTGTGCTTCAACGTTAAGACACCAGCTGATCTTTCTGAACAGCGAGAAACCCATAAATCATTCCCCCACTGAGATCTCCAGAAATTGAGTGAGATTCCTGACAAAACGAGAAATCTGTGTTCAGCTGTTTAACAAATAAAAATAAAGCTTTACATTTAGTTATATTTCTTAACCCCCTGGCATTTAAAGAAACTATAGACAATGAAAATGTCAAGAATAAAGACTTATGAAGTACGACAGAACAATCAACAAACAATGTTATACTGAGCACCAATTGCATCGTAGTTTTTTTCCAACTCCATTTGACTTGACTTGGACAAAAACTACGAAAAAACCTGTTGGAAAGCATCTTTTGCAGTGATTTTTGTGTGAGCATATCAGTGAACACCCCTGACCACTCGGTGAGTTTAACGTCGTTGTAAACTAAAGTTTAATGCGTTTTAGGAAGGATTGTTTCTGTGCACATATGCAACCATTGTGGAGGTGGGGGGGTGCAACCACAGAAACCGAAATTTCTCGGGACAGCAGCATGTGTCCAAATTTTAATCTTAACCGTTCTATTTCATCAGAAACAATCTTGAAACAGGGCTTTAAGTGTAAAATACCGAACTTGTCCTTTAAGGCGGCCATCAACATTCTTTACTCTCATTTGTGCTTCTTTTATTTCACTGCATACAAAGTCCACAGTTTTCTTTAGCCCTTCAATTTTCAATGCGTTTCCATCAATTTTCTTGGAGTTTTCACTCACCAGAATTTGTATGAAGTCAGCCTGCTCCTTAATAAGCTGGGAAAGGGTAGTAATGGCGATGTTGTCTTGGGATGTGGGCTCGTGTTTTGCATTATAGGGAGCCTTTTTTGCCACTGGGGAATCACATGGAGTCACAGGTAGCGGGGGAAAGTTTTCCTCCAACATGGAGACCTCTACTGTCGACATAGTGCTAGCATAATCGTGACACGAAGTTATCAGAGCGTTACTTAGCTGTGCATCAGGGATGAGGTTCTTCTTGCTCTTGTGCATGATTTTCCTCTCAGGCGGTGACATTAGGTTGTTCTCATCTCAAAGTAATAGGAAATAGTCCGACATCAGAGGAATGCAGTTTTTCTTGAATTTCCACCAAATTAAAACTTTTGTGCGGGAGCTCAGCAGTAACAAACTTACTCAGCAAACTTACACTCGGCCGCCATCTTGGAACCTCGAATCCGCTCACATCTCTCTCTTCAATGAGCTGGCGCGCATGTGACGTCAGCACCCATCGACTCAATTCTTTATTATTTTCGTCCCTCAGCGCGAAAACTAAATAATAAATAAAATAATAATAAAACATATGTCTGAACATTTCGTGCATTAGGCAAGAAAAAAAAGAAGAAAAAAAAATCATACATGAAAATACATAGGAACACAGCCTCAATTAATTGGGTGGGTTACATTTACATGACTCAAAGAGCAAGCATGGGATCTATCTTCGCTTGTGAAGTCTCAGTTCCAAAACAGAAATCCTTTATTTATGTGGTAGAAGGAAAAAGTAATTTCATTACATGGAATGAACAGAGAATTTTTTGCTTTCTGAATGTGACTTTATTTTTTGGATAATGGAGAACAAGAATGGAATTACAGCCAGTTTTATTTACAAAGAGTTTGCTTCAAGAAGGCTCCCATCCTTAATAATACAAGACACAATCCTTTTTTACTCTGTAAGTCTTGCAGTCTGTATGGCGTCTAGTAGAGATGCTAAAGCTAAGCACAATGTGCTTACTCCTCATTTAAGTTCAGATAACAGATAAACAGCTCTCATTAGCACAAATGAATGCATCCTCGTATACTTTTGCTACAAGAATTCACATAGGCTAAGTTATTATGCATCCACCCTTATCCTTGAAGGGGTTTTTGTCCTCAGGAACGCCTTTTACGAGGGGATCTTCTGCGGCTTGGGCCTCAACCCATTCACAAATCTCCTTTGCAGTTTTAGAGACCTGAGGAAAGGAGGGAAGTATGTCAGACGCGTGCCTTTTACTGGTACCTGAAAGCATTATCGAAATATTTAATAAACAAAAAATGCAAGGGGGCTATGTAAAGAATGAATGATACATATTTCTTTGGGCTGCCAAATAAATCAGAAGAGGAACTTACAGGCTCTCTAGTGTTCTTAACCTCCTTCTGAAGTTGTTCCAGCTCCATTTTTAGGATGTCCTTATCGGACATATCCCGCGCCATCCTGCCCTGAGCAAATAAAGTTATAGGGTCTAATGTTACACCTGTGACATTGGCACACTTTTTTGTGTGTTTTATTTGCATTTCCAAATACCTCAAAAAAAAGGATTAAAAATAATGTTCATAATGTAAAGAGAGGAATGGGATTTAAATCCAAGCATGCACTAGCATACATATGGTGATTAATACCCCAATATTTGTCCTTTGAGATCAATTTACTGTATGACACATTCTGGAAAAGGAAATGCTTATATTAAGTGTCACTGCATTTACAGATTGTATTATTCAGAAGTCAAGTGAGCAGAACAGGTTCAACGCATGATTGTGTAATATTAAACTATTATTGGAAAAAGATCAGTTGAGTCGCCATAGTAAAGTGACTGCTCTCTTGCTATTTTAAACAGACTGAATATTTTTACATAAGATAACTGAATAACACCACCAAACAACATAAACCTGCTGTCACCCAACAAGTTACAAAATATTCATTGTGTTTAGCGTTGTCATTGTTTGTTTCTAGAGATGTTTGCAATTTAACAAAAAATACTTGTCTTCTCTCATTATATTCTGATTAAGGTGTCAACAAAATTGCTAATATTAATCTAATATCAAATTGTATTACATTAAACAAGTGTATATGATAAAAGCTTGGAATTCCATTTCTACATGAAAAAGGCCTTGGCTAAATATGTATGTAATTGATTCTACAAAATGTAATGTCACATAAAATGACCATATACAATTTTCAAGACCTTTTGACACAAGAAGCGTTTCCCAGATGAGCATGATAAAGTATGTCATAACTTATTTATATGGTTGTTCCATTTCGGCAAGAAGATTTTCCACTACTGCAATTTACATTGATGTCATTCAGATGATAGCATAGCATTACATCATTCAAAATTCCTCGTAAATTTTACTGTAGTCACACAGTTACCTTTATCTGGCTGTATTGTTAATATATGCATATTGTCATTCATATAAGTCATCGTTAGAACATAATTATGCATACATACAGATTTATCACCTTTAGAGCATTGTTATGTTTTACTTACCTATCAGTTAGTGGGGCAGCCAATGGAGGGAACAGGTCACTCTCTGCACTTTAAGGGACCATGTGCAGGGTTTGTGGTCTGGAGATGAACTGAGCGCTTCGGTCTGGTGCTGTCGCCTCTTCAAAGAAGACCGTCTGATCCCCAACAAGCACACTTCCTTCATCCAGATTTCTGATCAGCTTAAGCCATCTCGGTAATTAAGGAGGTCAAATCACCCGGAATAAGAGCAGAGCGGTTTATTTGTTCGTGTGTGTTGGCTGTTCTTCTTACAAGATTTCATTTTATGTAATGCCATGGAAAAATGTGGATTTTGTGCTTGATTTATCTGTGCATTTGATGCTTTTAAGTGCTTTAGCTTTGTTAAAAAAAAATTTAGAGGTCGTTATATATATAGCGCTTTTTCTGGGTACTCAAAGCGGTTTACATATTGAAGGGGGAATCTCCTCAACCACCACTAACATGCCACTGACCTTCTCTTGACAAGTGAATTAGTTTTGGATAAGAGCAGGTGGCCTAGACAAGTAAACAATATTTACTTAAAATAATGTATTAGAAATGTATAAACTCAATACTCAATATTATTAGATTAAATCATTCATTATCAATTGACAAAACTGTTCTTAAAATAGGCAGTTAATCAGCCTGGCTGATGTATAATCTCATCATCTGTAATTAATTATCAATAATAATAGAGATAACTGGCATGGGGATCACTCATTTTTAAATGCATGTTTTTCAAGGCAAGAGACACAAATACTATGACCTCTGATCTCTCTTTACAGAGGCACAGACCAGTTATATGTGACTGTTGACATGGAGTTATCCTTGATCCTTTTCCTTGTCCGATAGCACAATCCACCTGTAGGTGAGTGTAAGCAGACAAGTCACACCATGTCCAAGCATTTCAAATAAAATCAGAATGTTGTGATATCCATAATGGCGGAGAAATGCAGATGTTGACCTATAGTCTGAAGGATCTTGTATTTGGTCTTTTAACTTTGTTATGTCTATGCCAATTAAAGGCCTCATCTGAGTGATCTGTTATCTTGGAGACAAGCCTCTTGCCTTAAATGCGTCACCTTAGCTAATCCCATCACAAGGTCTTGACTGTCTTAATCCAAGAGATTAGACTCAAAGATGTCACTCTCACTCTTGCTTTTCACTATGAAATATAGAGCAAGGTTATTTATTTCCTGTTGAATGGATTTCCTTGCTAATAACATAATTTTTCCTTCCTTTAAAGGGTTAGTTCCCCCTAAAATGAAAAAAAAAAACAATTGTCATGAATTACTATCCCCTCAAGTCGTTCCAAACCTGTAAATTGTTCGTTCATCTTTGAAACACAAATGAAGATTTTCTAAATAAAATCTGAGAGATTTCTATACCTCCATTTGTCCACTACCACTTTGTCACCTCAAAAAGCTCATAAAGATAAAAAGAGTAAAACTAATCCAAATGAATCGAGCGGATCAGTCAAAAGTTTCTGAAGAGATTGGATTGCTTTATATGATGAACACATTGAATTTAGGCTTTTAATAATGAATTTAGGCTTTTAATTAAACATTGATCAGAAAACACAAACAGAAGGTCAACCGTACTTGCTTGATACACGAGAACAAACCTCATTGTTCTTGCAGAAGCTCAAACGTGCTGCATAACACACGAGAATGAACCACATTGTTCTTGCAGAAGCTCAAACATGCTGCGTAACACACGAGAATGAACCACATTTATCTGTAATCTGGCTTATGTGCTATTTTCTATAGTTTAACCATCATCAGCCTTTTATTTTATTTTATATTTTTAATATAATATCATGAACACAATGACGGATGGAATGGACTGTGATGCAAGGGGCGCCAGGTACAATCTGGCAGCAAATTAGTCAGGGCCGGCCTTGCCAGGCGCATTTGAAGGTTGTAAACTATGCAGTGCAAAATTAACCTCTTCCAGAGTAATAGGTTCCTCTAAAAGTTTTTATCTCCTTCATTAATAGAAGGGATATCTAAACTATCAGAGTGATAAGTCCAAGTTATGGAAGCATTGGTATAGTTGTCTCCTCTGAAGTTGTATTTGTTTTTATTATATTGTATTGTATTGTGTGTACTGTCTTGTTTGTTTTATTTGGACCGGTGAGTCTGTAATAAAGTTGTATTATTATTATTATTATCAAAGAAATCATCCAAGTGTTTAACTTGTTTTGTTGATTAAGTTGAATATAGTTTACAATAAAATTGTTTAAATTATACAACCAGACCCTGTGCAAATTTTTGTTATTAATTTTGATGTTTCAGAAACTCTTATCCGATGAGCCAAATATTTTCATATTTTGTCCCCATTTTCATAATAATTACGTCTGGAGCGGGTTTATACATTTTGCAGTCTCAGCTGATGATAAAGATTAAATTCTGTTTGCCAGAAGTTCAGTAGTAGGAGATTACACATTGTTGATCCATTTCTGAAATTTGTTCCATTAGTTTCTGTTTATTCTATTTTTGTGTTTAGTCCGATATGCAAAAAGAGAGATAATTTGACCTCGTAAATAAGCTTTCTGAGCTTCCCATTATGTTCTTTTAGAGACTTCTGGGGTTTTGTTGACTTGCATAAGAATCTATTTGGGATCTTATAAACTCAAAATTTGTCTTATCAGATAATAAACTATTATCCATTCGCCAGGTTCGGGAAGTATATCTATTAAAGCTTAGTTGTAATTTAATGGGGCATGATCCGATAGATAAATGGCTTCATAATCAATATAGGCCTACTTTACTGCTGAAAGTAATTTAGAATCCAAGAAAAAATAATCAATCCTAGAATTAGATTTATGTGGCTGCGAAAAAGTTTTTTTTTTTAGTTGGATGTAAATGTCTCCAAATGTCTATTATATTTGTGGATTTTAAAATGTTCTGATACAGGCTGTTGTCTGCTTGATGATCTGTCCAATACTGGGTTCATCGCCAAATTAAAATCTCCTGATAAAATTAGGTTGTGGCCATGAAGGTTGGGTAATATTGAGTATTGAGTTAATAAATTTCTCATCATCGTAGTTGGGAGCATAGATGTTTGCCAGTGTTACAGGGGTATTGTAGAGTTTTCCAGTTACAATAATATACCATTTGGGTCCGAAATTATATATGTGATAAAAGGAATATTTTTAATTAATTATGATAGCTGCTCCACGTGACTTGCAATTAAATTTTGATTGGAACATGTGGCCAACCCAATTTTTATATAGTTGTTTGTGCGCGTGATTAGAGATAAGATGCGTCTCTTGTAGAAAAGGCAACTTCTGAGTAAATATCCCTGCATCCACACAAAAGGGGGAGAAAAAAAGAAAAGGTAAAAAAAAAACCCCACACAGATTAGCCCTGCGTACAATAACATTCATCCATATAAGAACTCCGAACTCCTCAACATTAACATTTACACTTCCCAAACAAGTGGTAGGGGAATAACAATTTGACTAAAAAGCACATTGCTGTTTTCAACAACAATGAACAAAATTATCTCTGCTCCTCTTTGATATGTATCAGTTTAAGACATCTGAACCTCAGTCTGTAGTTAAATTTATGCTGTAAAGCAAGAGCAAGTAACAGAAAAAAGAAACATAAAACAAACAAAGTCCCCTTTTATAGTATATCTTCTTCGTTTATCATAAATCCAGTTTTTAATCATAAAATGATGCAAATGCCGGGAATATTCTAGCCTGGGAAAACCCAGACAACTTCCGGCAAATTTAGATTTGCTCTGAAAGTTAGTCTGGCAAAGAGCTCATTCAAGCCCATTTCCAATCCGTCGAAATCGCGGCACCAATCAGAAACGTTGGGGCGGGCTTTACACGATGACGACAGCGCTGGGATTTTGTAGCCTACATTACAAAGATGGATGCTGCCGTCGAACATCACTCGTTCGAATTAGCTATCGCGCCTGTTTTAAGCGATTTGAACGTTTCCTTTTTGTTAAAAACCGAGCAAAGAACAACACTCGGAGATGTTTCTCCGCCGCTCTGCATACGTCATCTCCTTCATCGCTCTGATTGGTTTTAGGTCTATCCGCGACGTCCGTTGGTGACGCCCCTCCGGAAATGATTTGTCTATGACGCTTTGCCAGACCATAACTCAGTTACAACTGAGAATGGTCTGGTTTTAACCAGGCTAATATTCTCCACAACAGAGCCAATTGCATCCCATGTCTCCATATCTGCGGTCGTTTTCGATTTTCCTAATCTTAAACTCGGCGCTTAGCGTCTACGTCAAGGCTCTCAGCCCGCCCTCTGTTTGTTGATTGGCCGGCTGTTTTCAGGCCGGAGGAAAACTGAGAGACATGTCGATGTCTCAGTACAGAAGCGAACTGAAATAGAGCGGAAGTACGAAGTACGGTGGCCGAGAGAGCTCAACGCGCAGCAACTGAAGAAAACACATGCAAATAGAAAAAAACACATGCAAATAAAATAAAACGCATGCAAATAGAAAAAAACGCGTGCAAATAGAAAAAAAACACCCGCCAATTAAGAAAACATCTTCATCAGTTTCACAACACACGTGTGCTCCAAATACTCACAACACCACCAAATACAAACGCGCTGCAAAAGCTTTTTACAACAAAAATGAACCATCACTGAAATCACTTAAGCTGGACTATGTCACTATTTTCTTCTAGAAACAAACTTTGTTGCATTATGTTCCTGTCATCACTGTAAAGCTGGTTTGAAACGATCTGTTTTGTAAAAAGTGCTATATAAATAAAGGTGACTTGACTTGGTCTTTACGTGTTACTGTCTTTTCTCGTGGCAAAGTATTTTTGATTAAATGCAATACATTTTCTCATATGTATTCTCTTGTTTCATCTGACTCCATAAATGAAAAGGTTTTTTAATGATATCTGTGCATCATTAAATATAAGCGAAAGTTTGACTATAAGCGAAGTTATTTAAGTCAATTAGAATTATCAAATGTAACAATTTATTATGTCAGTCAGGTAAATTTATCATTCCAATAATTTCATAATCAGTTCAAAGATAATCACTACAAAACATCAAATGCTCTGGAATAAAGAGAAGTCTCGGCCGCTCTCAGCCTCACGGGCTGATCTGATATACAGAAAGGCCCCGAGCCCCTTGCCACATTTCATTAGACAGACAATGGATATTTGTCGTTCCTCAAGCAGTTCTTCCAGTTTTTCCAGTCTTACAACGCATTCGTTCATTTGAACAGTAATTAGCCTACATTACACCCCATTATTTAAAACAGGCAGTTCCTTTACTGCTCTCATAAAAAATACAAATACAATTTAATCCTATATATAATGTACAACAAATGTATATATTTGTCAGAATTATTGCGCTCCTATAGATTTTATGCCAAACGTCACATGAACAAACAGGAAAACTGGTCTCATCGCATCTGCTTGTCGGAAAGTGTTAACAGCAGTACGAAGTTACAGCGATATCTATGGGTTTTTAAAGCTACAATATGTAATTTTTTTCACCGCTGGGGTCGCTAACCTCTTAAAATAAAAAAGGCGTAGGTTGATGATGCAGTATATAAGCGGAATGGTCATGCCGATGGATCTAATAATGTTTATGGGAAATAATGTTTATGGATGTGTGAGAAAGTGAACCTCACTTCTCACTGTTACACACTCCCGCATTGACTGTGAATGGCGTTACACGCGAGAGCGGGAGAGACTCTGGACATTTGCATACGCATTTGCACACACATACACCCGCACGCTCCTTTATAAAAATTATGCCTTGCTTAGGCTAATTGTGTTATTTTGTGAAGGTGTATGGATGGCTAATGAACACAGGGGGGGTTGTGTTTAAAGAGAAGGCTGGCGCGAGGCTAGGCGCCATTAACTCATTCGCGTTGATTTGTTTGTAGCGCGGTTAGTCCGCGATTTCATTCACAACACTCAAAACTAATTTGTCACTGCTTATAACTTCCTACTTTACCATCTCCATGACATGTAGTGCAGTACCCACTAGTTCATGTCCCATTTACTCCCTGTTTCTGGCTAAAATCCTAGTGAATTCATACATATTACGACTCACCCATTTCCTGCATCCCGGTCCGGTTCGACTGCTCCTATGCGGATGCGCGCCGCTGTAGGGGCAGTATTTATCCTTGTCGTAGGGCAGAGGGTGCAGAGGATTGTTCACAGGGGTGTTGTTTGTAATAATGTTTTGCATGTATATGAGTGGTGTAAATGTTGTATAAAATGATAGTGATATGATGATACTATTTTATTTTATTTTCATGTAATGTTTATTTTCTACTTAGCTTATAGCTTATTTATGGCCTTAGGCTAAAGGTAATACCCTGATTGTTGGTATGGGCCAATTTGGCTTAATGCTTTGGCCTATTTAAGAGGGCCTCATTCTGCATTAGGGAGAGTGAGAGTGAGTACTAGCTTGCTGTGAGGCTATGTACAACGTGTTTGCTGTACTATCGTTGAAAGCCAGAAGCATTGGGCTATTTTGATTTATTTTTGATTATTTTGTTTTCTTGATTTCTGAGTTAAAATATAAATAAACTTTATTCTATTTTTGGACCAAATTGAGGTCTAGTAACCGTCTTTTCCACCTCCACCACCTAAAGCCAGTGAGCCTACACAGTATTTGGGGTGCCGCTCGGTACCCCACAGGATGAGTGAATATATTCATGTTTTTTAACATGACTGTGGTAAGAAGCAGGGCACGATTACCATCATACTAAACTGCATTTGAGTATGTTGAAAGTTATAATGTTATTTTATGTGTTAGTTTGTTGGCAGTATGAGACTAGCAAGCTAGATCAACATTAGAATAACATACTGATCATATTCTAACATTTCATCTCGAAAACGCCACGCCGATATTGATCCTCATTTTATTTCTCCTTTTGTCCCAAAGTCTGCTTGCCATGGTCCATAATGTTTGAACGAAACAACAACAGCGTGAGTGTGCCGCTAGACATTACGCAGTTGTCCACGTCGGTCGCCATGGTAACTATGGGAGTACGGAAACCAGGGATAACGCGGATAAGCGTGACAAAGTGACAAAGGACGGGCACTAAAAAAATTCTAATTTTTCGATTACCGATACAGATACCTTGACTTCGATACTGGTTCCTGAACGATACTTTTTTCGATACCAATTTGATGAAATCCGTTTTAACAACATTACCTCAAAACCTTTGGTTTTATTTTTTTCAGTTTATTGACTTTTTACTCTCATATTTTGAGTCTGTAAAAAAGCACCAATGCTAAAGTTTTCTATGTATCTTAATCATTTACCGACATGTATTATTTACTTCAATGAGCTCGTTGTTTCTGCCTTAACTTAGTGCATTGTTACAATGACACTGAATGAAAATTTAATTGAAATGCATTGCTTAGGCTACACACAGTCACCTCTGATAACAGATCACTCTAAATTGTAATTTAGACGTGCATTTTCTGTAAAGCTGCTTTAAAACTATATGTATTGTGAAAAATGCTATACAAATAAATGTGAATTTAATTAAATATAGGCTATACTGGGGGGTGGGAAAAATGCCTCGCGCTCAGCACACAAAGCTTGCTGCAAAGCACTGCCAAAAGTAGCCTAATGATTATGAATGTGTCAGGAAAAAATAGGAAGGAGACATTTTAATTGTTAATTAATTAACTACTGTTTTCTGAGTCTGTGTTGGCTGCAAATATGAAGATATAGTGAACATGCGTGCACCTATAGAGAGAAATGCACCTTTTATTTGGATTACATAATCAAACTATTTGTTTCGAATTGGTTCGTTTAAAAGTGGACATTTCAAGATACAGGCCTATTTCTCATGTATGTGAGGCAAGTATCCTATACGTAAGGAATAATTGACGACAGGCCGTTGAATTATTAGAAAAATAATGCACACCAGAGGTGGTAATTTGCGGTCACGACGCGAAGCGGAGTGGCCGTTACACCTCGGGTGTGCATTATTTTTCTAATAATTCAACGGCCTGAAGTCGATTATTCCGCTTATACTACAGTTAGCCTACCACACCTCAAAACATTGTTTAGATGATGCATTTCAAGACGTTTGCAAGTTTTTGTCATTAAAACGCTCTTGTATATAGGACTAATTTCTTACGCATCTAATCCCATGCCTCCGTTGCTAATTCCAAAACGTCATTTTAGAGTTAGTAACGGAGGTTTGAGCCACTGATAGCAGACTAATGATGGACATACTTACGACTTGCTGAAACATTCGAAGACTGACTGCTTCCATCGACTGTAGCAGGTCTTAAACACAGACTGTGAATAGGCTACAGACTGAACGCGCTGAACACGCGTTTGGGCATGATCAGTCATAAGTATCAAATTACATTCATAACTGGCCTTAGTCAGTGTGTCCCGGCTTTATGCAGTTATTAATGCCGTTATTAGAGAGAGAGAGAGAGAGAGAGAGAGAGAGAGAGAGAGAGAGAGAGAGAGAGAGAGAGAGAGAGAGAGAGAGAGAGAGAGAGAGAGATGTTGCAATAATGAGACAGAAAAGCATGTGCGTCAATATTATTATTTATTAATTAAATTAAATTTGTTTTAATTAATTCGTTCATTCTTGTTTTCTATAATTGACAGTAGATAACCCAATAAATGAAACACACAAAGCCCTTTTAACAAGTAGGCCTATCAATAATTATTTTTTTGTTATATTATATCTGGAATAATTACGAAAACCCAGCAGGACTATCAATTTATTTATATAGCCTATTCAATTTAATTTTCTATTTAGCCTATAGATAGGACTACATACTTTATTTATTAAAATTAAACTGTATGTGTCCATTGATTGTGAAGTTAGACATAGAAAATTGCAGATCAAGCGCATGGGGCTGCATGTTTTTTCTTGTTATGAATTGTATCCTATTTTCCGTTATCACAGTTAACTGCGCGAAGTGATATGGAACTGTAATGCGGTCAAGACCGTTTCCCTGAAAATAATTGCACACCTTAGAACGTTCTCAACCAATCAGAATCAAGCATTCAACAGCCCTTTAGTATAAACTGAGTTACGGTTCATTTGCTCCAGTTCTTCTTGCAGTCGAAGGATCAACTTTCTGCTCTTTTATTCTGTGCACTGTCAAGTGCTTCATCTAATCAGTACTTGATGTAGTTAAGATAATTCTTAAAGAAATGATGGGCCAGTTTTCTCTTCTCTTCAAGTTTCCCTTGAGTCCGGTATGAGTCATATTCGTTTTGTGCCCGATGTGTCTGGTGACCAATAGAAAGTCCTTTGCATGATGCAACTAACAGTTTTCCAAGTGCATCAATGAAGAACTCTGGGGGGAAAATAAAGAAAAGGAGAATTTAAGAATTAAAAAGAAGAAGAAATAAATGTGCTAGGAATCAATCAATGAAGATGTTTTACTGACGTAAAATTTAGTATGTTTACCGGTGTGTCCAACTCTTTTAAGGAATGGGTCAAAGCCAATTCTTCGCACCGCTTCAGTCCTCGCCAAGAAATAATTAATGACGCCATCCACTAAAAAGCATCCATTATAGCCTGAAAGTGGCTGATGAAACCCTCCTTTAATACGCTTTAGACAACCACCGTCTTCATCTCCCTCATCATACTCGAGAATGAAATAGAACTGGTCACCTGAGACCTCACCACCAACCTAACAAGAGAAAAAGAGCTCGTTTAACAGTGATGTACTCCTCCAAGACCTTTCACCCCCCTAAATAATATAATTTCAAACTTACCACATCCAGATCTGGAATCGCTTCCATAATCTCCACAAAACTCTCGACCCGTGTCTCTTTCAAGAACAAAAAATCATCATCTACCCACAGGAGGTATTTAGTTGTGAGTTGGGATAGAGCCAGATTTCTGCCTGCAAACCATCCCTGAGGAACCAAATAATCATAAGTGATTAGTTGCCAGGTAATCTACAGTTAAAATCCAAGATGTGTGACATACAGCATTAGATCAATTGAAGTGTTGGGGCCGAGGTGTGTACCTGTGCAGGAGGCATGATGTAGTGCTCAATGTTGTTTCCAGACACAGGTTCAGGCTCCAGGCTGTCATCCGCAACAATGATCTTGATATTTGGGTAAAACTTCCGGATACTCTGGATGAGGACGTTCAGCTCCTTATACCTCAGAAATGTCTTGGTAATTATGGTTACCTGTGAGTTAATATCTAAATTGAAAAAGAGAGAGAAGTAGGTGCATTTCATTAGCAGGTTTTACAAACTTTATAGATGTTTAGGTATATTTGTTATAACAAGCACATCTGATGCCATGGTAGCATGCTGTTTTGTAGTGTTTTAATTAGGGAGTTGTCGTCTTACCTTTTCCTGGGTCATAAAGAACAGGAACTGATGGTCTCCTAATCATGATTGGAAATATGGCCTCATGGTCCTCAAAAGAGAAATGACCTAAGGAAAGAAGACATTTACTATAATTCTATTTGGCCACATTCACAGAACAGAACAGAAAAAAAGAGAAAAACAAGAACTACAACTGAATTCCAGCCACGGCCTTAGATGAAATCAACTGAAGATAAAAGAAGACTTTGAATATCTCAAGACAACCCTCTACAATGCGACTAAATCATATGCGACTAAATCTTCACTCTGGGCGACTAAATAATGTCTATCATTTGACATTGGCTAATCAATTCCTAGATTTTACTCGCCAGTGTGTGTGTGTTAGAGGCTAAGTATAAGTTTAGCATAGATATATTTTCACTCGTTGAACACTGACTGAGTGCTTGAGAGTTTCGCTCTCTGTCAAGTGATCTATACTATTTCAATGCAACTCAATGAATGGATGCGCAGAGTACCGTAAACTCTAGTGTGAAGGCACATGACTTGCCGTCGTTCATTTGGAATTATTCTGCTTTTAAGAACAAGCAGAAGATATGCCGGTTTCTTCGGTCGTGGGTCGGAACTAATGCGCAAAGGGCCATCTCTTAGGCTAGAGCTCAACCCTGTTTTGATTTTAGCAAATCAGTTCGAGTAAACACTGAAAACTGAAAATGAATTAATATTCATTAACCCAGCAGCTCATCAATCCTTAGTGTGTTGTATATTTGTATTAGTAGTAGAATTAGTAGTAGTATTATTATCTTTTAATAATAATAATCACTATTATCTATTAATTTTAAAAAAAAAACACTGAATGACTAATATAAGCACCATCATCAGTCCTAAGTTCTGTTAAAATGACAAATATGCATTCATGCATGATTCCCAAGTTTTAGTTCGAATTGCTAAAGTTCTATCATTATAGGGCTTGATTATCATAATATAATTCTTGATGTTAAGAGTGTACGTTCAGATATTTAAAAGGCTGTGCCATTTTACAAAGATAAGCTTTGGTGGAATTAATATATATATATATATATATATATATATATATATGCACACTCACCCTAAAGGAGTGAGTTCAATTTCTCAACACCTAGGAACACCTGTTCAATTTCTCATTAATGCAAATTTTATAATCAACCAATCACATGGCAGTTGGTTCAATGCATTTAGGGGTGTGGTCCTGGTCAAGACAATCTCCTGAACTCCAAACTGAATGTCAGAATGGGAAAGAAAGGTGATTTAAGCAATTTTGAGCGTGGCATGGTTGTTGGTGCCAGACGGGCCTGTCTGAGTATTTCACAATCTGCTCAGTTACTGGGATTTTCACGCACAACCATTTCTAGGGTTTACAAAGAATGGTGTGAAAAGGGAAAAACATCCAGTATGCGGGAGTCCTGTAGGCGAAAATGCCTTGTTGATGCTAGAGGTCAGAGGAGAATGGGCCGACTGATTCAAGCTGATAGAAGAGCAACTTTGACTGAAATAACCACTCGTTACAACCGAGGTATGCAGCAAAGCATTTGTGAAGCCTCAACACGCACAACCTTGAGGCGGATGGGCTACAACAGCAGAAGACCCCACCGGGTACCACTCATCTCCACTACAAATAGCAAAAAGAGGCTCCAATTTGCAAGAGGTCACCAAAATTGGACAGTGAAGACTGGAAAAACGTTGCCTGGTCTGATGAGTCTCGATTTCTGTTGAGACATTCAGATGGTAGAGTCAGAATTTGGCGTAAACAGAATGAGAACATGGATCCATCATGCCTTGTTACCACTGTGCAGGCTGGTGGTGGTGGTGTAATGGTGTGGGGGATGTTTTCTTGGCACAATTTAGGCCCCTTAGTGCCAATTGGGCATTGTTTAAATGCCACGGCCTACCTGAGCATTGTTTCTGACCATGTCCATCCCTTTATAGCCACCATGTACCCATCCTCTGATGGCTACTTCCAGCAGGATAATGCACCATGTCACAAAGCTCGAATCATTTCAAATTGGTTTCTTGAACATGACAATGAGTTCACTGTACTAAAATGGCCCCCACAGTCACCAGATCTCAACCCAATAGAGCATCTTTGGGATGTGGTGGAACGGGAGCTTCGTGCCCTGGATGTGCATCCCACAAATCTCCATCAACTGCAAGATGCTATCCTATCAATATGGGCCAACATTTCTAAAGAATGCTTTCAGCACCTTGTTGAATCAATGCCACGTAGAATTAAGGCAGTTCTGAAGGTGAAAGGGGGTCAAACACAGTATTAGTATGGTGTTCCTAATAATCCTTTAGGTGAGTGTGTATATATATATATAATTTTTTTTATCAGTTTTTTTCTCTGTTTGCTATATCTGTTTGTTATGGCAAGAACAGCAAGAGAAACGTGATCAGATGATGTTGGCCTCTTATTGGTGATACAGTTGTAATCATCACATAGCCTTTTTTGCTGATCTCACTTATCATTATAGTAAACCTGTGACTCTACAGCATGAGATCCGGCAGTTAGATAAACTCAGCTATTTATAAAATAAAACACTAAAATAAATGCAATAAAACAAAAATTAAAAATAAGCTCCTGTTTAAAAACACATTGAACACAACACACCTTTAAACTCCAGCAAGTTTTAAACACACACAGACATCAAGAATCAGCCTATAAATTTCAACGATGGGGACATGCTTCATGCAGCAATGCATTCTGGGTGCATCATAGAAAACTCATCCACAACTTCTCCCAGAATGCATTGCAGCATGAAGCATTGTTGAGATTCATAAGCTGATTCTTGATGTGTGCAAGTAAAACTCACAGGAGTTCAAAATGTGTAGTGTAAATTGTGCTTTAAAACTCATTCAGATTTTCTGATTAAACTGTGCTGGATCTTTTTCCATAGAATCACAACACAACATTAAAACAAAATGAATAACATATTACCCATACAAAACTCATCACATAATATCAGACATAATATCAGTGATTTAAGCCACTACATGATGATTATATTCTTAGCAGCTGACAGCATCTTATCACATTGTCTCTTGCTGTTCTTGCCATAACAAACACAGTTACAGCCACCAGAGAAAAACTTGTTAAAAAGTCAAGTCAAACTGCCCAACTAAAGCAAACACGGATCACAATGATGGTGACCAAACTATTATTTTTAATAAAACATCAACATCAAAACCTCTGTGTGTAGTCATATTCTTTTCACATTGCATTTGTGCTCTAGTACCAGACCTTCATTTATGTGTTACATTTTTTAGATTTATGCAGAAATTATTGATTTTATTTCCCAATATCTATAAAAATGCTCTCTATTGCAGTCACACCTCTCTCTATCTTTGTGTGTATTTGTGTGTGTGGACACATGTGTGCGTGATCATGTTCATTCCACATTGCATTAGTGCTCTGTGTGAGAATTTTCCGATTTATGCTGGAATTATTGATTTTATTTGCTAATTTCTATAAATATTTCTATTGCAGTCACACCTGTCTGTCTGTCTGTCTGTGTGTGTGTGTGTGTGTGTGTGTGTGTGTGTGTGTGTGTGTGTGTGTGTGTGTGTGTGTGTGTGTGTGTGTGTGTGTGTGTGTGTGTGTGTGTGTGATCATGTTCGTTCCACATTGCATTTGTGCTCTAGTACCAGGACTTCATTGTGGTATGTACATTTTCAGATTTATAGATTTTTTTTTGACAAATGAAAAATAAGTAACGCTTTAGATTACAGCCCGGAAAGTACTGTGTAATTAAGAGGAAATTACAGAGTAACTTTCGGTAATTATAGTGTACCTATAAAGTACTTACATGTAAGTATAAGGGAACAATATGTAAAGTTTGGGGAATAAAGGGGTAACAACCAGGAGAATTAAATAAATATTTATACTGTAAGTATTATAGAACTAAGGGGTACTTATTCTACTATTATGATACAACAATCTTACATTTGGGAGCAATTTAGCGAGAAAATACACTGCGTACCTTTTTGTAATAATTGTGTACCAAGGCAATACATACTGTAGGCTTTTTAAAAATGACAGGGTACATAGCTATGCATTTATACTTTTATTTTTTTGATAGCAAAAGTGCAGATGTTTAAGTTGGGCTAACATGTTTCAAGGCAAGAAAAGCTAAGACTATTGCAATTTTTTTAAATACTGGGAAATATATCTTGTTTCATGTGGTTACAGGGTAAGTGGTGCTTGTATAATAAATAAAGGTTTCCGAGTCAGTGATATAAGATTGTGTGTATTTTTATTGTACTTACCCTGTAACTACATGGAACAAGAGGGTAACAAGCACCACTTTAATTTACAGCCCGCAACGTCACACTTACCCTGTAACTACATGGAACAAGGGGGTAACAAGCTACATGAAACAAGAGTATCTTTCCCCAATATTTAAGCAAAAGTTGCAATAGTTTTCGTTTTCAGTGCACTTTTGTTAAAAAGATTACATTTTAAAAATTACAGGGTACATATCTATTATATCTATTTATAAAGCCTATGTACTGGTTCACCATTATTTCAAATAGGTACGCAGTGTATGTTCTTGCTTAATTGATCACAAATGTAAGATTGTTATCATAATAGTAGAATAAGTACCCCATAGTTCTATAATACTCACAATATTAATATTTTTTTAATTCTCCTGGTTGTTACCCCTTTATTCCCCAAACTTAAAATATTGTTCCCTTAAACTTATATTGTAAGTACGTTATAGGTACACTATAATTACCGAAGGTTACGCTGTAAAATTGCTTTAATTACCCAGTACTTTCCGGGCTGTAATCTAAAGCGTTACCGAAAAATAAAAAACTATTTCAATGTGGGGTCATATTGTATGATATTCATAGTAGTGTATGCTAGTCATATTGTGTGTATAGACAGATAATGTAGAAAAAGTGACAAAATTGTATGCAACTGAGATGAAGGGAACCATGTTTATTTACTATAGAAAAGTCGATTGGGGTCATAGACCCCAAGGTAGTGTGCACACTGAGCAGTGTTCATTTAATCTGGGCTAACCCATGTGGGGCCTACATGGAAACTGCGGACAAAACTGGCTGGCCCCTAGTTAGATAGCCCAGGTCAACCCCATCTGGGCCCCACATGGGTGTGCTGGCTGGGAAGCTGCAATTCAGTCTCTCCTGTACATTTATATACAGATAGACCTTACCCAGGTCTGATGTTCTGACATGGTAGATAGTGCTGGTGTAGGTCACTCTGGACAGCAGATCATTGAGTTGTGTGAGGCTGCTAGATGAGATGCTCAGTTCACTCTGACCCTGTCCATCCACCTGCTGTCCATCCAGAACATCCTCTACTGAGAGCACTCCACTCTTCACACTCAAAGACACCTGCAGACATCATTGTGTTTAATGCAAATGTAAGTTTAGATTTAGAATGGAATCCGAATTAACCTGTGTCAAGATTTTGCATTCCACATGCATTTAACGCTTAACAAATAGTATTTAATGGTGAAACAGGATTTTAATGTGCATGCATATTGAATGAATACCATACAAGGCCTACAATTGTACCTATGAAAATAAAACAAAAAATCACAAAGGTCATTGGAAGCAACCCGATCACAAATGCGTCTCTATAGCATGCAGTGTGTTTATCGTGTAATTTATACGCGAAAATTAGTTTTTACGTGCATAGGATATGCATGGGTTGTTAGGGTAGGTTTAGTAGTGGTGTGGGGTGCGTGTGTATTATACGTTTGGGTATAATTAGTGGTGTGGGGTGCGTGTGCCGCAAATGAACTGCGTATCAAATGCACGTGAAAACTGCGTATCATATGCACATAAAAACTCATTTTCGCGTATAAATTGCACGATAATACACAATGCGTGCTATAGAGACGCATTTACGTGCAAACAGGCTGTTGAAAGATTAAACCAACCTTGTACGCCTTCCTCTTGATCGTTGTTACACTTCTTCCTTGTGTTAGAAGAGCGAGACCTGAAATTATAATATAAAACAATTCACTTAAAGGCAGAGGTGATTTGCTTCAAAAACATTTTTTGTTATGCTGGTTAGGCATGCACCGATATGGCTGATACCAATAATTCTTTACAATTTAAAGCCGATACATTTACATTTACATTTATTCATTTAGCTGACGCTTTTATCCAAAGCGACTTACAATTGCTATATGTCAGAGGTCGCACACTAGGGGTTAAGTGTCTTGCTCAGGGACACATTGGTGTCTCGCAGTGGATTCGAACCTGGGTCTCTCACACCAAAGGCATGTGTCTTATCCACTGCGCCATATCCACTGCGCCATAGCCGTGGTAAAAATGGTAACACTTTATAATAAGGTTTAATTTAGTTAGCAATAGTTAAAGTGAACCAAAAAATGAATGAACAATAGCCTACTTATACAGCATTTATTAATCAATCTCAATTTTCTAAGACATTTTTAAGATCCAAAGTTGTATCTTTAACATTAGTTAATCACTGTGAACCAACATGAACACAAATATTTTATTAACTAACGTTAACAAAGGTTATTGCTAACGTTAACAAAGGTTATTGCTCTGTTTAGTTCATGTTAGTTAATGCATTAACAAATGAGACCTTATTGTAAAGTGTTACCAGAAAATCTATTGCCTAACAATTTTTTTAAAAAAAATTTTTTTTATATTACAGTAATAGTAAACATCTTTAATATGAGGCCTACTGTTTCAAAGAACGTTGCTGTTTTAGCTGCGCGCGCTGAACCTGAGAATGAACACAAGTAAACTGAACTGCTTTGCTAGAAGGTTAATGAACTCAACGGTTGCTGAAGAATGCAACTATAAGAATGAACAAATATTTGATTACAAAAATAATTATATGTAGGCTAAGGCTATAGGCCTATATATGCATTACAATCCCATAGTTTTTAATGTTTTGCATTGCTGTTTGAGTGCGCGCGCTGAAGCTGAATAAATTTAGCACCGGGAAACTTAAGAACTTTTCTAGCGGGTTATTTAACTCAACGAAACGCATCCTATATGAGATTAATCAGATTTTTACATTATATAAACTTAATTTTACGACTTATATCTGCACAAAATGACGCGAATGCACGAACTGTGCTGGTCAGAACGTGTATCCTGTTCTGGACGCGCTAATTCCAACAACAACGCCCAGAAACGGCAACTAAACCCAGAGAATTTACAACGTTTTATTACAATAGTGTAACTCATTATAATGTCATGTATAACAGTCCCAATAGCTGCCCCCCTAACTTTGATGATCCAAAAACTGTACTTGTAAAAACAACCCGCCACTATGTCCACACGCTTCTCAAAACAGTGAGCTAAACAATAGCCTACATTTACCAAAAGTGAACAATTTAATTTTTAATTTTAAATGTATTATTAGCCCCTCCCCCTGATTCAAACGTGCAGCAGAGCGGCGTTCGCTCACGCTCAGTCTGGCTCACACACAGCGAATCTGCGGCCCTGCAACCCGATTGGAGATGAGCTGACTCAGAGCCTCTTAAGGTGAAGTGAGTTTCCCCAGGTGTAGTTTAAACACACGTTTAACTTAAAGTTACATTTGTAATGAATGTAGCTATTGTATGCTAAAGACGATTCAGCATCAGCAAAAACAGCGAGTCTATTACTACGTTAGCCAAAATCAGCGGTCAAATATCGCTCCCTCGTGATTTGTATGAGCACTCTTCCCTTTGATTAGCCTAATTTTGATTTTAGTAAAGACAAGAACAGCTTAGTAAAAAATATAAAATATTGTTTGTATCCATAACGTTTACTGATGGTCGCCGTTACGCCGACGAGTTAGGAGATCGATCATTTGATTAGCTAAGCAGTCCTATCCAATTCCTCTCAGATATCACAGCAATGAAACCAGGTTACAACTGGGGAAATAACAAATACAATAGGATCAAGTAGTCTAAACATAACTGGTGTGTACATCATACATGTGATAAATCTTTCTGATTTTATTTTTGTTATATAGGCTACTTAGCTTCATAATACAAGGATAATACATAATTCACAATTGACTTTTGGAGGCAAGAGTAGGCTAGGGCCTACTAGTTGAAGAAAGTAGCTTGAGCCTAACCATGAAAAGTGGGGATATTTCCAGCTTTTTTGCTAAAAATAATTCAAAGTACACAGGAGGAAGAGCGTGAGGGAAATGAATTTTTTTATATTTTAATTTGGCTTTTTATACTTTTAGTTTTGTTTTGTTTGAACTGCACTGGGCTTATTCCTGTTGTGAATTAAACACCTTTGTAGTGTGTAAGGGCATGATTAAACAATAACTACTGTAGTTTAAAAGTGTTTTATGTTTGTTTTGTTAAAGCAATTCACATATAGGGATTCCCCATTTCTAGCCTACTGTAATTTGGAAGAGAAACCCGTGACGTTATACTCTGAGCGGTTTGTGAATTTATGTTTAAATGGTAACACTATCAACGCTGAAATAAAACTGCAGTCAGGTGCAGGTCAGTTCTCTTTAATTTTTTTATGTTCATTGTTATTGTAATGTTATGTGCTTTGAGACATGAGGAGGTAATTTAACACCGTCTCTCGTGACGCTTTTGTTTGATCTCGCTATTGCTAGCTGTAACATTTTTAAAGGTACATTACGTTACTGCTAAACAGATAGGGTGAGGTTGTGCCCAGTTGAACAACATTCCTCGGGACAGATTTACTTAACAGGGCAAAAATACCTGTCAGTCGCAAAAATACCCGTCTCCGTGCTTTTTTAACTCTTAATTTTTCACTGCGTGTCTTTATTAAATCTTGATAGTAGTTTTTTAATGCCAAAAGAGGGTTTGAACTGGGACAAGCTGTTAGTAAATCTGGCCCCTAGACACAACTTAACAGGAAAGCTATGCTTACCTGGTATTAAACTTTTCTGCTGAGGAGCTACAGTGAAACTGGTAGGATATTGGAGAGGAGAGTTGGCCTTGGCGATAAGAATTTCTTTGTTTGTCTTCATCCTGAGAAAAACACAAGAAGAAAATAGCACTATGTTATAAAAAAAGTTTATAAGTGGCTCCCCAAAATAATGATCAATAGAATGTTCTCCTTTTGCCCCTGCTCAGAGATAATATGATGATGCACGTCAGACTTCTATGAGAGATGTACCTGAAAACAACAAAGATACGCAGTGAGTATTTAACATGACATTGTGGTGCTGTTTTACAGGATTCTGGGTGAGATTTAGAGAAAAAAAAAACCAGTTCAACCTGAGTTGATGTTGATTGAACTCCTGTGCTCTGCGCTCAATGATGTCATCCAGTTGATCTTCTGGCGCAAATTGCTTGGTGAGTTCAGCTCCTTCACAAGTAACATTTGGCCTGCGCGAAGGTCCAAAGCTATGGTGTCCAGTACTATAAACATGACAAAAAGACCCCAGGTTAGGTAGACCATCTTAACCAGATCTACCTAATATTAACTAGCAACATTTTATTGACAGTTTACCTTGAGACCGTGTCTTGCCCAGGACTGGCACTGCTGAACAGAATAAAGTCAACAGATGTAGTTACTTTGTAAAATAGTTTCTTTGACCACATTTACACTGCTGTTCAAAAGTTTGGGATCGGTAAGATTTTTAATGTTTTTAAAAGAAGTCTCTTATGCTCACCAAGGCTGCATTTATTTTATTACAGTTTTTCTCGATTGCTTAAACACTATAACCAGGCTTTTGAACTAAAATTTCAAAACCATAATGCCATTTATCAAAAAGCACACCCATTTCACTAAACTATGAACACTATTCCCCTGTTTTGACACATTAGTCAGATTTGTTGAACTGTCACAGCAAAACTCTACACACAAATCCCTTCATTTCTCATTGCCTACACCACATGGTCATTTAGAAAGCACTAGCATTCAATATTGTTCACTCAAGTCAGCACAGCTTCAGCTCAGTTAGCACACAATTACCCAGGTGAAAACACTAAGAGTCAAAATTGTACACACATCAGTCAAATCCTTCAATAGATAGATAAAAGCTTATACAATCTTTTATAAAAGATACAAATCAGTTTACTGAGTTTTGGAACAATGGATCCACAGAGAAATTAAGCAATAGGTCGAGGAGGTAGAGGATGAGGAGGAGGAGGAGGAAGAGGAGGAGGAGGAGGAGGAGGAGGAAGAGGAAGAGGAGGAAGAGCAGGAGGAGGAGGAGGAGGAGGAGGAAGAGGAGGAGGAGGGAGAGGAGGAGGAGGAGGAGGGAGAGGGAGATGAAGAGGAGGAGGAGGGAGAGGAAGAGGAGGAGGGAGAGGAAGAGGAGGAGGAGGAGGAGGAGCAAGGGCAAGGGCAAGAAGACAAGCAGTCTCGGATGAAATTCAAGCCACTTTAGTTGGCCATGTCCTTGTCCATGGTATGACTATGAGGGAGGCTGGGCAACGAGTACAGCCAAATTTGAGTCGCTTCACCGTCGCCTCCATCATCACAGGGAGGTGGGGTGGCGGGACCACCACAAGCAACATGACTTCCCAGTTTTGGAAATGTTGTTTTGAATTTATTGCACTAGTGTGTAAGACTATGTTGTAGTGTGTGTATTTTTGAGGGCTTGTGTGTCCTGTCTGAGGGCAGAGTTTGGTTTTTCAGCAAGAGTGAATGGTTTTGAGTGTAGAGCTTCATTTTGACCTGAAAATAGGATGTTTGGGGAATTGGGTGAGACGTTATGGATTTGTGTTTACTGTTTTGAGAATACGAGGCATAGTTTCAAGAAATGTGTTTAAGCAATCGAGAAAAACTGTAAACAAACAAAAAAGTAATATTGTGAAATATTATTACAATTTAAAATAACTGTTTTCTATTTGAATATATTTTAAAATGTAATTTATTCCTGTGATGCAAAGCTGAATTTTCAGCATCATTACTCCTGTCACACTGTGGTTATCTCAGGAACAGACCGTTGACTCTGATTAAAGATGCCGATTCAAACTTTAATAATAACTCTCTGGAACAAGCTGACAGGCAGGGAAAACACACAAGACCGGACAAAGACTGAAGGCAAGGGTGAAGGGTGCATCTTAAAAAGCAAACAGAAACGAGATAATTAATAAGACATAGCTGGGACAAATGAACTCATAATGACAGTAACCATAAACAAAGGAGACAGAGGAGTGGAATCAGAACAAGGCATGTGACATAAAAACAGACAAAGTCCATGAAAACAGAAACAAACTGAACATAATGCTGACAACTCCAGTCTTCAGTGTCACATGATGCTTCAGAAATCATTCTAATATGCCAATTTGCTGCTCAAGAAATGTTTATTATTATTAGCAATGTTGAAAACAGTTATGTAAAAATAAATTTAGGATTATTTGATGAATAGAAAGTTCAAAAGAACAGCATTTATCTGAAATAGAAAGCTTTTGTAACACTAGACGCCACTGTTTAAGAGTTTGGGGTCAGTAAGATTTTTTTTTTTTTGGGGGGGGGGGGGGGGGATAAATCAATACTTTTATTCAGCAAGGATGCATTAAATGTATCAAAAGTTACAGTATAGACATTTATGTTACAAAAGATTATATTTCAAATAAATGAAATAGAACTTTCTTTTCATCAAAAAGTCCTTATTCAGTCCTTGTAATTTAATTTCTTTTTTCACAACTTGTAACAATCTGATATATATATATATATTTAGATTATTAACAATAAATCACGGGATAGACTGAGTTACACATTAATGAAATTGCTTAGATATTTTCAGGAAGACACTGGAAGGACAATAGATTGAAGGTGACATATATTTCCCAGACAAACGATATCACATACAACAATGGGCTGTCTTATTCACATAGTATCACACAGGCCATACGACCGGTTGAATGTCTATGCTCACAAACCACGTGCGTTCGTCAGCACGGAACAGTTTTCACAAGGAGGTCTTTTAAAACCCTGTGTCCATGGCGTGAAGCACAAACGCAAACATCCAGGAAATAGTCTTGTTAATCCAACGAGAAAGGTCCAAAAAAAAATAATCCACAATGAAGAAAAAAAACTCAGACTGCTTTCAATGAGCGAACAAAACCACTGCTCCAGCGTTAGAGACCATAAAACCGATCGTTCTCACCGGTTTTGTGGAGTTCGTTACCACCGAAGGATGCTGATCTTCCGCAAATCAAGCACAGGTCTTTGCTGAGGAGGTTTTTTTTTGTGAAGTACGAGCTTAGTTCCAGGTCTCACGTAGTCTTCCTGTCCACTAAAAAGCCCCCTTTTTAGTCCACTCTCGTGCATTTTTCTCTCCTCTCACCAAAACCATTTCCTCCCCAGCTGACGCGATTTGATCAGGTAACTCCCATCAGCTGCGAACTGACTGTCAGCTGATCCAGCCCGCGACAACATAAACACAGTCACGGCACATGGTACAAATGACAGATACAATGGACATTGTATCGTTGATCATAATAGAGATACATCTTGATTCTCCTATCATGCTAATAGTTACAATAGTATACATGAAAAAAAGAAAAAAGAAAACAGTGACCTCTAAAATGTATGTAGTGATGCCACAAACTGTTTTCAAGATTGATAATAATAATGATTGTTTTTTAAGTATCAAATCACCCTCTTCTCGTGGCACTGAAGACTGGAGTAATGATGCTGAAAATACAGCTTTGAGTTTGATGTCAAATGTAATTTATTCCTGTGATGACAGGAATAAATTACATTTTAAAATATATTAAAATAGAAAACAGTTATTTTAAATTGTCATAATATTTCACAATATTACTGGATTGTTTTTGTTTTATGTTTTTTTTTATATCAAATAAATGCCTTGGTGAGCATAAGAGTCTTCTTTTAAAAATTAAAAATCTTACCGATTCCAAAGTTTTGAACGGGTATGTCAAAGGTTTTGTTTTTTGTGCATCATTTCCAATCAAACTGCAATTTCATCAAATTATGCAATAGTGTGAGTATATATAATTATATTTAGTATACATAAAATGATATGATGCTATTATGATATGATATGAATTTAATTATGTTAAATAATGCTTATAATAATGCTATGAAATTAATAAAGTTTAGCCATGTTATTTTGAGAACAAATAACATGTGATGTCAATAATATGAGATGTGGTGGAAATTATGTTGAAAAATTATGTCTTAAAGAATAAGAATGACAAAATTAGACAATAGTACCCTAGTGAAAAAACAAATACCAAAATGTATTTAAAATACGTTTATTTAATTCTTATGCTACAAATCTATTAACATATTTACTGACATGTCGCTTGAGACTTTGATATAAATATTATAATTAAACTTTATTTGGAGTATTTTTTATTGCACAATGCACATTTCTTAATATTAAGCCTAAAATGTGTTTTAATATCACTATTAGTAAGGATAGTATGATCTCTGTATAATATCAGTTGTTAAATGCAAAATATTTAAAGTGTATCTAAAATATACTTGCCATAGTTCCACTTTAGCACAATCAAATATACTTAAGTATATCTTTAGTTGGACCTCTCAGCACTATTTCTGGATAACTAAAGGGCATTAAGTACAAAATTAGTTGTTCCAATTTATGTATATCAATTTAGTATACCAACAGTAAAATTGGAAGGTATTTTTTTTAAGTACATAAATATGTAATTGTATTTGAAGTATACTTAGCATAAAATATTATTTCAAATACATTTTGGTATATTTATTATTCACTAGGGTAGTAGTGCATGTGCACTGCAGTACATCCACTGTTTGACATTATAGGCAAAACAAATAAGAGTTTGAGTGTGTGAACTATGTTTTAAGGAAATTTGTTCACAGGGTTGAAAGTGTCCATAGTTAAAGAAACACCCTGTTACTAAAAACACCATTGTTGCTCTGAAATCAGTGTAAATCATATTAAGAATTTTCGAAATAAAAATAAATCAATCATCTCATTAAGTCTGACATCACGGTTTCCAGGTCCAAACGTTCTATCAGATGCCAAAAGCAAACAACAAACGGTGCTTATAGACACTCAGGGTATGCTGTAATACTACTGAAAAATCATGACCCTATAACCGTTATCTCCATACTGAAATATCAGATGGCTAGACAGTGATTCATCTTTTATAAATCATTACAATATTGGTGTCTGGGACGCCGTCATCCCGGAGATTAGAATGCACACTGTGAGTTTTTAAAACAATATCATGTGTGAAATGAATAAATAGTGGTTATAAACAGCTGTTGAGATAGTATTCTCATTTGAAATGAGTTGAGGCTTGTGTTAAACAGTGTTCATTATGTGACGATTTAAAGCGGAATCAGATACAGACTCAGAGAAAAAAGAGGACTGTACGTACCTGGGATCTGATATACTTTTCATGACTTTCAGTAAGCAAATGATCAGTGTAGCACCAAACAGGGAACATTTAAGCCGGATGGAGCGCGTGCACATCATCAGAAATGATCTGAAGAGAACAGTGACACACAATTACATTAAATGATATGTTTATCTCTGTAAAGCTGCTTTAAAACAATCTACATTGTTAAAAGCGCTATATAAATGAGGATGACTTGACTTGACATCAGTTACACACATCTGACACGGGAACATCACAACATTTCAATGACAACTAAAAACACAAACTGAATGTGAGGCTGGAATGACATGCAAGTGAGTAAATGATTTACATTTTTGGGTGATCTAACTTAAGTTAGTGTTATAGCTGACTGGCTTTCAGATACTACTGCGTCATGTAAACAGGAGGACAGACACCCTTTCTTAGCTGTGATGAAAGCCATTAGACAAGTCATTCTACGCAAGTACACGCACATCTTTGCCATCAGTAAACAGTCACAACAATCATCTACATCTGACATAGGTCCAGCCTTTCTTTTACAAACATATCCACATGCATTAGCAAAATGATAACCATACATGGAAACCCGACAAAAGTGAGATGTACTTACCACGGATCGCCCGGTTCTGAAACACATCAGGGCGAGGTCCTCTCACGCATGCGTTGTTGAGGTGAACTACAAATAATAATGAAAACAAAATAATAATAAATATACATATATCATCATAAATAAATAAATATATGTATATATATCATCTATTAAAACCAACAAATACTAGCTGTTTCTTCTAACGAGCATATCCAAGACATCCTCCTCAGTGTCCCAGTTGCTGCAATAAAGCCGATCACTTTCGAGTGCACCACCAAGCTATAGGAATTGCTGATAATGTGTATCAAATTACTTGCACATTAAGATTCACATTGAACACTATTGCATTTCCAAAATGAAGGAGTGGAAAATCTGCAGAGAGTAATAAGGCCAAAGGGCAAACAGTTATGAGCAGAAGAACTCTAAGAGAAAAACCTTTATATAAAAAATACTTCTTTATCTCTCTTCAAGTGGCCACATCATATTCTGATTCTGAATGTTTCTCAGTTCCTTTACAAAGCTTTCAAGTCTCATGTTCGTGATTCAGTGGCATAAAAGGCCCCATTTTAAATCCCTTTTTATCCTTTAATTTTATAATTACGTTGTTATTATTATTATTATTATTATGTATTAGATAATAACCCCCCTCTCTAATCTGACGCAGATTTGCGGGAACATACGCTTAATCTACTTGGGAAAATAATTTCAAAGTCAGAATAAACCCAAATGTAACAATTTATTATTAGTCAGGTAAATGTATTGTGCCAATTACATAATCAGTTCAAATATAATAAATAGAAAACATAAAATGCTCTGGAATAAAGAGAAAAGATAAACCTGACATTAGACAAATACATAATGCTGAATGTCTGAAGACATCTAGCATTACAGGCTGATCGGAACTACAAATCGGCCAGAGCCTCGTGGCATTTCTTTAATACTCAGACCGAGATAGAAACTTTTTTCACATGGAAACATGAGCTAACCATGTGAATTTGCATTCAGAGTTTACATCTTTTGAGGGCAGGATTCCATTTGGCTGGAAGACACACCCTCCTCTGTAAGCAAGATATCTCTAAACTCTTAAAAACTTTATTTCCTTTTAGTTTACTTCTTTGGGAATGAGACCGTTGTACCAGTCGCACTGAGACATTTCAAATACCAAACGGCGTTGTATGATAATTGTTCCCATTAAACCATATAGATTTTGGGGTGAATTTCAGGTGATCTCAGCATGAGAGAGAGACGAGATGGGGGAGGTGATTGACAGTGTGATTTCATCTTGGATGGTGATGCTAGTTTCTCAAGAGAGAGTTCAAATGTTAATTTCCAGAAAGGTCCTTTGTCTTCTCAGGGAGTGGTCGTTCCTCAACCAGACTGCCCGGGATTTTCTAATTTCTCCAATCTTACAGTATAGTAAAATACCAATAGTAATACTTGGTACCACCATTTCTGCTCATCACAGTAAAATGAAGTAGTCACAATTCACTTTGTGGAAGAAATATTTTTCATATTCTGACGCGGCCAGTTACAAACTGTGAGGGAGGGCACTCATTTTCCAAAATGTCTCAAGTTAAAAGTTAACTGAGAACGAGAATGTCCCAAGAACTAGTCAACTCTCTATAGATTTTGGCTATAGAGTCTGAACGCTTAAAAGAGCTCAGTTTTGATGTTGTGGATTACTTCGCAAGGAGAAAAACGAGAAAGAAACTTCTGTAAAGTAAGAAATCGTTGGATAATTGTCAGGGCCTGCAAAAAATGTTTTTGAAATTGTACATTTTCTTAAACTGCATTTGGTTGCTTGATGGTATGATATTCACTGGCATGTGTGTCACAGGGTGGTTTTATGGTGACAAATATTATTTGATTTATTTGATGCATTCAATTCTTGAATATTTGACAATCAATTTTTTTTACGGATGTCCGTTTAAGGGTAATATTAGGGTAACACTTTAGAATACATCATTAATGAATAACTACACATGAACAAATCAGTAACACAGTATTAACATTCTAGTAACCAATATTAGACTTAAAGAGAGAAGAATATCAGAAAACGTATACTTTTTTTTCATCGATTCTATAAACCCTGTAGCCTACATTGTGTACAGGTGCTTTCTTTACTTTACTACAGGCGTTTGACGTGGGGTGAGAATGGTTTGAATATTAACGATCATCATAACATCCACTTTCTCTTACCGTGAATGTGCAGCTAAGGAAAAGAATGGAAAAGGTGGAGATAATTGGCCCCAGGCTTTGCAAGTCATAATCCATCCCTGCTTAATTATATAGTATTATATTTGGTACTGCCCATGTATCACATTTTTATTGCTGACATAACATTTTACTGATAAAGTATGTGTATATAGTATACTGAAGTGTAGCAAAGTGAGGAGTGCTGATAGTGCTCAGTCGCTGGCATCTTATACAGATGCATTAGCAGAATGTCATCTATTATTTATTCAATTTATCTATCTATTATTTAACAACACAGACACAATATGTAATGTGTTCTTGGTTTGAGTATAGTTTTGAGTTATCTTGTTAGTTTTGCACTGTTCCCATGTTCAACTTCCTTAGTCTTTGTTCATCGGTTACCACATGCTGCGTCTCAATTCGAGTACTTATACTACGCCCTAAAAGTATGTACTCTTTTTGTGGAGAAAAAGTAGATACTTTTGAGTGTGTAGCAAAAAGTAGACAAGCTTTGGGACATACTATCACGTCACACAATGGGCTATATGCACGCATAACTTCCGCGTTTGACGCAAGGATGCTCATGCGTTTCCGGTTGGGGAGATTTAAAGCGCGGGAAAACCGAGGACAACGGGATTATGGCAGAGTCTATCGCGTCATACAATTGCGTCTTTAACCGTTGCTCTCTGTCGCATCCTGTCACAGTAAACTGGCCTGTCAACCATCTTGTCACAGTTAAAATCCTCCACATTTCATTTAATTTCCTACCGTATCGGAGAGAAATGCAGAAGCACTTTGGTGGTCAGTCACGCTGAGACTCTCCTCATATTAATGCATAATAATGCATTTAAAAGTTAATGGCCAAACGGATCTTTATAAAAGTCCACATTGTTCTTGCATATGAAATATAACAAGGATAACATTAATTTTTTTTTTTATCAGGTTAAGCTTTGATTAGTCACTAAACCTCTTGCCGTAGGTCACACATATCTGCCATGTTTTGTAGTTTAACACTTTTTACCAGTGTTTGTAGTTCCTCATCCAAAGCGCAGTGGGCAATATTAGCTGTTATAGTGAGCATGGATCCACACTTCGAAAATCCACCGGAAATAGTAGACCATCCAGGGACTTCTGGCATACTCATTTCAACATATGCTTTGGGACACACTTATTTTAATCTCACATACTGTTTATGATGTATAGTATGGACACTGAGACGCAGGGTATAGTGTTTGATTTGCCCCCATGTGTTACACCTGTGTCTAGTTAATTACCTCAAACAGACACAAAACAAAACTAAAAACTCAAACAAACTGAACATAATCCTGACAGTTTCAACCCCTTGCTTCCAGAGAGACGCTGTAGACCTCAGGATGCAACTTATGGCCAACAATCATCTCAATAATTTTGTCTGTGGTTTTCATAAAGCAGCATTATCTTAATCATTATGAGATAGATAAATTCAATCTCTCCTTATGTTATTATTATTATTATGTACCTGTGTGTAGCATAAATGGGCAAAAAATATTTAACAAAACAACTTTTACAAAAAAGGTACATCAAAAATTGCTGTAAAAATTAAACATTAAGCCAAAGCAGAATCTTAATAAAGCAAATCTGGCAAGCAAAACTAAATCTAAAATTCAAACTCACAAATACAAAGTCTATTAATTGTTAAACAACATAACCCCAAAAGAAGAGACACAAGCCTTATAAAGAGAGAGAAGGACAAAAGCCTTTCAGAACTTTATATAATTCAGATAGTTCTTAAAGAAATGATGAGTCACTTTTCTCCTCGCGTCAGCTTTCTTCTGAGTCCTGAAGGAGTAATATTTTCCCCGAGACCGATGTTTCTGGTGGCCAATGGAGAGGCCTTTACAGGAAGCAACCAACAGCTGGCCAAGTCCATCCATGAAGAACTCTGAGGAAAGGCAAGAATGCAGAGGAATGAATTTTCATGAATCATGAATTTTTCAGGTGTTGTATGTGAAAATATTTATCTAGAAACTAATTATATATAATTTGTATTGTTTATGATAATGATTTTTTGAGGAATATTTCTGGTTTAGAACTAGTCCAACTAGTTCACATGAAACATTACAGTATATTAAAAGTTAATATTATCGATTTATCAGCACTGACACTGTCGGATGAGAACAACATTCGAACTGAATAATGGCACAAACTACAACATTGACACATATCTAACTAAATTGAATAAACTTGAGCTGAATAACAACACTACTGCCTTGTAGAGCTTCTTTACAGCTGAAATTTAAGACATTCCATTAATTGATGCATTTTACATTAAAACTTTTGTACAACTTTTGTATTGTATAAAGCGCTTGGCTATATAAACAAATGTGATTTCACTAGACTATTACAGTAATAGACCGGCATGAAATAAAATAATTTCAATAATGCTATAGTTTCCAAAAAACAATGCTCAGCCTTAAAAGACAGATACACACTGGATGTAACCAGAAGAAAGAAACCCGCTCTCAAATGAGTTTACAATAACTGAAAAAAAAAAGGGGGAATACTTACCAGAGTGGCCTACTCTTTTCAAGAACGGGTCAAAGCCAACCCTTCTCACGGCATCCGTCAGACCCAAAAAATAATTTACAACTCCATCTACTAGAATGCAGCCATCAAAGTGTGGAAGTGGCTGATGAAATCCTCCTTTTAAACGGCTTAGGCAGCCGCCCTCCACTTCATCTCCCTCGTCATACTCAAAACTGAAATAATACTGATTACCTGATACCTCACCACCAAGCTAGACAGAAAAAAAGGTCAAAATCAAAATGGATTCTTAATCACTTAAATCAGTAAAAGTTTAATTAACAAACTGCATTTTTAAGACATGGGGATATCAGTAAGCAAAACTATTGACACAGTCAGTGCCACGTCCTGTGAATGTCCTCACAACAGAAAAAAACAAAAATGCTTACAATGTCCAGTTCTGGAACTGCCTCCATAATCTCTACAAAGCTCTCAATCCGGGTCTCATCCAAAAATACAAAGTCATCATCAACCCACAGGAAGTATTTGGTGGTGACTTGTGATACAGCCAGATTCCTGCCTGCAAACCAGCCCTGAAAAAAATCATCAGCAGCAGAAACAGTGAATAGTAATCAATAGTCACGTATCAGCTAACAGCAGGGCAGAAAATATCAATAAACCACTGTAAATGTAGAAGATTGGTTTAATCGAGCTTTTTGTAAATGCAAATACAGAATATTTTGATTTGTGTGTTCGGTCTGAATACTCGATTCTGATTTGGCTGGAAGGTGCTCTCTCAAATTGTGTAATGCACAAGTATAGTTCCAGTCAGTTGAATCGCCGTTCTATATTAATGTGCTGTCTTCATTGAAGCACACACACAGAGGTTAGAGATTGCGCTCTGTACACACAGAAACATTCAGGAGAACAGAAACTTCTTGTCCTTGCTGCCCTGCGACTTTTTACAAATAAAATAGCTTCACTACATTATATTTCTCGGCAACCTCTCTGTTTTTGAAGAATTTAAACTCACAGCTTCACCACCAGGACTGTTCACACCAAGAATGATGATAACTATATGAGTGTCCACACCAGCGGTTGATATTGTTCCGTTTATAAGAGTGCGCTGTAAAGATTTGTCATCAGCCGCTTTAAATGCTCAAGCTCTTTAAAGCAGGATGGATTATGATTGGCTACAAAATGTTTATCGGCTGGAAAAAATGGTTCCAAAAAGTAATTCCAAGAATATTGTTCCTCTGTGCCGCTATTGTTACAGTTGTTGTGTGAACTCTGCTATTCTATTATATTTAGAACGATTTTTGGAACAATTTCTTTATCGTTATCATAATAGTTATCGTCCTTAGTAGGGATGGGAATCGAAAACCGGTTCCACTCGAGAACCGGTTCTAAATTTTACGATCCATCGATATTGTATGCCCTCGACGTTAACGAGTCCTCTTATCGATGCTCCTGCTCTGTCCCTTTTGTCCTTTATCAAGCACCATAGCACCGCGTCCAAAGCTAATCTTTGTCCTGCAAAGTCTTATTTGATCAGTGAGTAAAATGGTCTCTCTCTGGTAATGTAGATGAACCGCTGCGCTTGTGACAGGGCGCATGTTAAACTGATCGAGCAGAGAGAGAGAGAGAGAGAGAGCGAGAGAGCCTCGGTCGCGCGCACGCACTCTCTCTCTTCGGAGCAAGGCGAAAGTAGGCTTCACCGTCTCAAAACTAAGCGCTGTCTTCCTCTCTCCCTCGCACATATTAATCAAAATAAACGACACGATGGTAAGGTAGGGAGACTAAAGTTTTTTGTGGAGCATTCGGAGATTTGTTTTTCCTGAATTGCCGCTGGGTGTGAATTGTGCTAAAATACGTTGCCTTATCTTCTCTGAAAAGTGTTCCGCACATTCAGCTGACATAATCACACTTCAAATAAACGAAAAAAACGATCCAGTGATGAAATGTTTTCTGTGATGACACACATCTTGTGGGATGTCCCAACTGCCGGGATAATCACACAACGAGCACACGTCCGATAATGACACGTCCAATTCGCGAACTAATTACTCATTTGAACCGATTCGTTTTAATGAATGGTTAAAACAACTGATCTTTCCAACACTGAACTCACGGGGCGTTTAATCGGTGTATAACTAATCGGTAACACTTTACAAATAAGGTTCCATTTATTACATAAAAAGTACAGTTTGCTTAGTCAAGTGTAAGCTTTAAAACAAATAAAACAACTTGTTTTTTCCCCCGAAAAAGACTACTTTTTCCCTCACAGTGCTATCAGGAATCGATAAGAGAATCGTTAAAGAATTGGATCGATAAGCAGAATCGTTAGTGGCATTGATATTGATAAAATCTTATCAATTCCCATCCCTAGTCCTTAGTGTAAACGGGCCTTAAAGGTGCAGTATGTAAGAATGACCTAAGTACCTGGTCGAAATAGGTACTGCAGTCGAATTCAAAATATCGGAGATCATCGTTTTTCCCACCACCTGCTCCTCAGACTGGACGGCGTTCACACAGGTTGCCAGTTTGAGCACACAACAGAAACGAGCGTAATGGACAATGAAAATTGTCAACGTGCAGTATCACAGACTAAAACATTAAACAAACATTCCAGCCTGGAAACGCACATTTCTAAGTAAAATAAGTTTTTCAGAGAAACGAGTATGTGAACTTAGCATGTCTCCTCAATATATGCAAACATATTATGGTATTTTTATGCTTTAGTAGAGTGAAAAAGTTACATACAGCACCTTTAAAGGAACACGCCGACTTTTGGGAACTTACTCTTATTCACCGTATCCCCCAGAGTTAGATAAGTCCATACATACCCTTCTCATCTCCGTGTGTGCCATAACTCCCCACCGCTAGCCTTGCTTAGCACAAATACTGGATGTAAACGGCTCCAGCTAGCATACTGCTCCCAATACGTGACAAAATAACGCCAACATTTTCCTATTTACATGTTGTGATTTGTATAGTCACAGCATGTACAAATAACAAGGTCACATCAGACACAGCCATCTTCTAACCGTATACATACTGGGAACTATATTCTCAGAAGGCAAAGCACTGCTACTTGGGCGGAGTGATTAGCGCAACACCTGAAAAGCACCGTTGTTACTTCCGTCAACAAAACCAATGTAACTAGCTAGCTAGTAGCAAACGTGATTGGTGATCATGGCTGCTGCGAGCAAATCACTCCGTAGAAGTAGCAGTGCTTCGCCTTCTGAGAATATAGTTCCCAGTATGTTCTGCCCTGCATGCGTTGTTCGGTGTGTTCCTCTGTACTCTCAGGATACTCTTACAGAACTTGGCATGTAGGGCTTCAATCGGATTTTTGTCCCATTTTTCAAATTCGTGATTTAGAGGAGAGGAAAATATGCATATCGGCATATTATTACAATACAAGTTATTACTTTGTAAAAGCTCAAAATAATAATCATACCATACACAGTTGGTCAACAAAGTACACTCAAATGTCTCAAGGTAATAAACAATCAAATGGCTCTATGACGTTACCGTAAAAGCCAAACAGGCTAATCCGCCGAAGATTTGCGGGGGTTTAGCCTATTTATTGATCTGCTAAGTAGCATATTCCAATAGCAATACATCCTAATCGTCTTATTCCGACGCCTGTCTGACTCCAATTTGGCCCTTTAGGTGGGACTAGAGAAAAGTTTTCTTTGTCTTACGTGGAGTTTGCGTTGGGGTTTGGAATGAACTACTCTTCTACTTTTGTCGAAAGTTGACTAAAGTTTTGTCGCTCGAGTTGTCTTCGCTGATACGGAGAATGGCGGTGAATACACAAACCTGCCAGACATAGCCAGGTGAGCATGAACGCGCATGACGTCACGCCCAGTCTCAAATTCCGTCCCGAATCCCTCTTATTTATTTTACTGTACAGGATTATAGAGGCAATCGCAGTGATCAGAGAAGGGCTCATTCAGCCCATCAGGCAATTGTTTAAGCATGTATGGGTTAGAAAGACGGGTATTTTTAACATGAAATGTTGCGCAATGCACCTTTAAAATGCATGTGCCCTCATAATCTTTAGTCAAAATAACTTCCCCTCCCTCTTGCAGAATTCCAATCATTTCCAGATGGACAAAATCAAATCCCACCCTACATAATTTTTTTCTTGTTCAAGAAGCCATTTCACTTGGACGTCACAGTAGGTAAGAAAAGACCACACACCTTCCATTTCATGCCAACTCTAAAGTGTGCAGAATGCTAGATCTAACAAGCTGTAAGTGACATCCATTTTTACCCTTCCAGTCAAATTTTGCACTGGAAATATCAATGACAGCTTTAACTTGCTGCCAAGTGACCATGGTACAAGTGGGATGTCACTTATGTGGTACACACAGAAAACTGGAAGAGAAGAAGTGTGTACCTGTGCAGGAGGCATGATGTAGTGCTCAATGTTGTTTCCAGACACATGTTCAGGCTTCAGGCTGTCATCCGCAACAATGATCTTGATATTTGGGTAAAACTTCCGGATACTCTTGATGAGGACGTTCAGCTCCTTATACCTCAGAAAGGTTTTTGTTATTATGGTTACCTGTGAGTTAATATCTAAGTTGAGAAAGAAGGGGGAGGGTCATTGACTAGACCAAATCTAGATTTGTGTGTGTTTGTTTGTTTTTTGTGGTCTTACCTGTCCCTGGGTCGTACAAAACAGGAACTGAGGGTCTCTTGATCACAATGGGAAATATGGCCTCATAGTCCTCAAAAGAAAAATGAACTAAGGAAACAAGGAAACGTGGATTTGGATATTATTATTTTTTTTTTTTTAAAGGTAAGTTTAAAATGTAAATAAAATAAAATAAAAAAAGTTAACTGGACTAGACAGCTCAATAGTTACATATTATAGCTCACACCCATTCTCTGAACTTAATGGACATATAGGGCACTGCAGACATTACCCAGATCTTTAGTCTTGACATGGTAGATAGTGCTGGTGTAGGTCACTCTGGACAGCAGATCATTGAGTTGTGTGATGCTGCTAGATGAGATGCTCAGTTCACTCTGACCCTGTCCATCCACCTGCTGTCCATCCAGAACATCCTCTACTGAGAGCACTCCACTCTTCACACTCAAAGACACCTGCAGACATCATTGTGTTCAATGCAAATGGAGTGTGTTCCTTGCATGAGAAATCAATTTTCATAAAGGATTATTTAGGCAACTGCAATCAACGCCTTGTTCACACACCAAGCCAGTAAAAGTTGAATCCACACTCTTAGAAAAAAAGGTTCAAACTTCTATCTAGAACTTTAACGGGTTCTGGTCAGGCACATATATAGAACGGTTTAGGGGTTCACATGATATGATCATTTTATGGATTTAGTTTTAATAAAAAAAACAGTACATCAACATGTAGCGCGATTGAGCTTCGAGCGACCCGAGTTCGAGACCTGACTCACAGACCTTTCCCGATCCAGGCCCCATCTCTCTCCCACCTCACTTCCCATCTACTCCATATTATCCTATTCCAATAAAGGCAAAAATGCAACAAAACATTTTTTTAATTAAACAACTTGTAAACTACCAAAATTTAAATAACCGGTAAAACATAAAAGTATTATGCAACCATTTAACCATTATTCAATTTAAATATGAATGTTAGTGAGAATAATAAAAAGATTTTAGATATCAATCTGCATATGCGATGGACATTGGTTATGCTCATCTTTTCTCACTCCTTTGTCAAATATAGAGCCATTTAACTCAAGATACCTTCAAAGCACATACAAAAGACCAGGGTCCTGATGTATAAACTTTGATTTATATTGATTGACGCAATTTTCCATGCGCATATCGGGATTTATAAAAATAAACTAGCCGTAATTATCTGTGCGCCGTACGGACACTATCTGTATGCACACTTTTACTGAAATGTGCTAAGTAAACAGAATGATTTAAACTTTTACATCTTATATACACATTTAGATTATACATGCCTCTCATTAATGGAGTTAAGCACTGAAATTTCATGAAATCATTATCCAGAAGTTATATATAATTTTTATATTAGCCTAATTTAAATATACATATGTGTAGTGGATGCGCTGCTTTTGTACACTTTTACTTTGGAATGCTGTGTTTTAATGTTTTAACTAGCGAGGATTGTTTGGTGCATGATAATTCCGCTTTGAATTGTGTACTTAATAGCAGAACTTGTGTTCTGAGATAATATTTCTGCACGAATAATGATCAATGATGCGCACTTGACTCCGTCTAAGCAGATGGCTTAGCAACACCGAAGGACTCACTCGGTGATCGAACAGTCCATTGGCCGGTTTGAATAAGTCCGATGACACAGTAGCTACTGTACAACCTCTACTGCATGCATGTGTGCTGTTGGTATCGTGCATGTAGCACCTGTGTCAAATAATATTATTGGACTCGTTGCTAATATCAACCATAGGCCAGTAGGTTCGGCTATAGAGGCGTAAAAACAACAACACTAATTGAATTCTAAAGTAAATTATTGTTTTGAATTTTAAAAGTAAAAATAAAATACAATGATAAATCAAACAGTTCACAATTTTTGTTCAGTATCGAATCACAGTTATATGAATTTTCAGTTCAATTGTTGTCAGTAATTGACAAATTTACCTGACTGTTCGGGTGCACCCTCACTAGGATATGTGAATTTCCTAGAATACAACAGCTTTCATATCACCATAAATGTTTACAATGGTTCACAATTGTAAATTTGGAGAGTTCCCTCAATCACATTCAGAAATGAAAGAAATGTTAAACACAAGGCAAAATAAACAGTTCAACAGTTCAAAAACTCAGATCAAAAGATTCAGTTTGGAAAGTTCAGTTGAAAGATTCAATTCAAATATTCGACTCAAATACTCGGTTCAAAAGATTCGATTCAAATGTTCAGTTTGAGGAACCCGAAAAATCCTTGGAAACGTGGAAAAATGATTCAATTCAACAGTTCCAAAGGAAAACAGTCGGAGCAAAAATACTCTGAGCAGTCACTCAAAAAAAAAAAAAAAAAATCAGACAGCAATCAGACCTTTCCTACCCAATTCCTCAGGTGTTGGTTTGAAACTCAAATCTCACATCAATCAACATTCATTTCACTGGGAAGGCTCACCATCTTGCATCATCACGCTAAAATGACACAGTTCCAGCGTAGAGCAAAAAACCTGACCAAATCAAAATAAAAACATAAATGTCTCTCTCAATCCTCTCTGATGTTTTTAACTTTTACACAAAGTTATGCTCCTGCTCGTCTCACCTAGCCTGGTCCTACCAGACTCTCATACACATTTCATTTATACAGAGAGTCTGGCCACTCTCCATTGACAAGCGTTAACTTCCTTGAAGGTGGGTACTCTGTTCCAATCGCTAACGGTATCGGTAATCGGTAACCAATCGCTAACATCTGGTCGTGATGTACTATATGTCTACAACTCAAACTAGCGCACCTCAACGTCATCGTTCTCAGCCACTCCCTCTGTTCACTGATTGGACCGGTAAAAAATTGATCGGAGAAAACGTCTCCGGTTACTATCGTAAGATCGGTTCGATGAGAGGCGGGAACGAGACATTACGTCAGCTGTGACGTATATGGGATCTTATTGGGCTAACGCCAGCTGGGGACAGCTGGCCAATTGACGCGAAGCATGCAAATACTGACAGGTTTGTGGGCAGTATAAATTGCATGGGCGCGACAATTACGTCAGAATCACAACTGAACGCTAGCACAGCTGATCAAACAGCAACCACGGCGGCTAACGTAATGTCTCGTTCCCGCCTCTCAGGGAACCAAGGTTACGATAGGAACCGGAGACGTTCCCTTTCAAGGCGGTAACTCAAAATTACGTCAGCTGTGACCTATATGGGAACTGTATTAAATCCCGCCGTGAGAGCAGTGAAGATAAGCCCTGAAAGTTCTAGCCAGTTCCAGTTCTAACCAATAGCCGCGTCGCTAAGAGTACTCGCATCTGATAGTTGGAACTAGACCAATGAGACATCTGCTCCGACTCTATCAAAATTTGTATATCTCAAAGCAATGAAAGCGAAGGCTGCACTGAATAGGGCAGACACAACATAAGGACTCAAGCATGAGAGTTAAACACAGTGTCGACAGGGAAAGCTCCTTAGGGAAAGCTCCTTAACTGCAATCGAAGCTAGGGGCTCGAACGGTGGTAGAGCCCTCAAAACTAGAGCTAGATGCCACGGCGGCACGGAGGGCGGCCGTGAAGGACACAATCTCCTTGCTCCCCTGAGAAATCTGATTACCAGAGTGTGCTTACCGATCTATTGCCCGTCAACCGGGGAACAAAAAGTAGCAATAGCGGCCACACCTTCAGCGTGGATGGCAAACTCTCGCTATCCATTTTGTGCTGTAGAAAGCACAAAACATCCGACACGGAACAGGTCCCCGGGTCAATATCAATGTCCTGGCACCATTTTGTAAAAACTCCCCACTTCAGAGCGTAGAGGCGCATGGTAGTAGCCTGGTAGGCACCTCCGTGAGTGTGCTCAGCACTCGTGAATGCAGAGTGTCCCGCTCATTTAGGGTCCCCGCAGCAGCCACACATGAAGGTTCCACAGCTCGGGGCTGGGGTGCCATATTGTGCCCTTCTCCTGAGACAGCAGGTCCTTCCTGAGTGGGATTTGCCATTGGGGGAGCCACCATTAACTTTCTCTGGTGCCCGAACCAGGGCTGATTCAACTAGTTTGGGGCCAAGAGGATCACTGATGCTCTCTCCTTCCTGATTTTGCACAACACCATAGGCAGAATACGCTTGTGGCCTGAAGACCACGCCCTCGGCGGAACTCAAGTTTTCAGCCAAAACTGCAGCGGCCGCATATGGAGAAGGCCCAAATGGCACACTAAAGAAGCCGCCGCCATCAGGACCCAAAAGCCTCTGGAATTCCCTGCCCGGTGAAACAGACCTGCGCGGTCTGAAACGGCGCAGTCGATGAGATTGTCTCTATGCGTTCTTGAGAGAGGTGGGCTTGCATCGCCATTGAGTCCAAACCAGGGCTCCAGACTAACTTTTTTCACCTCCGTCCCTAAACCATCCTGAAAAACTATTTGAACCGTCCTAAAGTGAATGTCAACCGTCCCAAAATAAAAAGGTTGTTTCTGTACTTTGTTATTATCATCTATAGTTGGTAGTCACATAATAAAAACACCATTAAAGTGTTTATGATATATATATTATTATATTTATTTAGCTCCATTCAAAGTAGTTATCTGTAAATGGGTAAAAAAAAAAACAGATTTAATGAAAAATAAAAGGAGTTAAATGCTTTTTTTGTATTCATGCAAAATCTTTTTTTCCCTTTTTTTACATGGTTGGATTAAACAATAACAAATAAATACTGGTGACCACATCTCAAAGTGGTAATGTGTCATAGCTGATCATCTGGAAATGTGTAATTAAGAGAAAGGGCTTTAAAAAGTGTAATATGACTTCTCTAGAACACAGAATTTGGGGAAAATTCTGTCTCCGTCTTTGTACTGACTGAGGTCTTTGTGCCGGAGAAAACATCAATTAACCTGTTAATATGAATGATTTTAAAGTTTGAACATGCAATACAGATACAGATTTAACTACTGTGAATTAAAAATTAAAACCACTTTTCCTAGAGTAGAACAGTCTTCTTTTCAATTAATGATATATGCATTCTTTTGAACTACTTGCATACATCATTCTTTATTTTTTCAAGCAGCAGATATTTATTTGTATGAATTAAATATAATGAATCCTTATAAAAGCTATTAACGAGCAGTGAATGCTTTTCTCTTTTTCTTTTGTTGCTTGAATATTAAGGAGGATACAGACCGCATTAGATTTATTGCCCATTTTCATTTTAGGACGTCGGATCATGTCCAATGACATCCGATACAAATGCACTGATGCACATCCGATACACTCAACTGTTTTAGACATAACCGACATAGTTTACATGAATACTCTCCAAAACGGACATTTAGACATAATATTGTGTGTATTTGTCCATTCAGACACGAAAGAGAGCTCAATCAGTACTCGCGCGCTGTGTCTATGGCTGCACGCTTCAGTCGCGCACAGAAAACCGCTGCCGCACCGAATAGAGCATTTTTTTTTTTTTTTTTGTCGTCACTCTTATTCAAAACTAACATTTTTGTCTAGTTTTTATTCGTTGAATATCCGTTGTTTAACCAGCACAACATTTGCGATGTCATTAAGCCATTTGATACTGCGGAACAAGTCTCCGGTCAGTGATAGTAACTATAGTAACAGCATGTGAAGTTGTAGTCAGCACTTGTTCGGTTAATTTTGGCATTTTCTAAGTAAGTTTGCCTAATAGGCTAGTAATAAATGAACACACATACAAAAATGTCTTTCGTCCTGTAGGCGTCCTGGAGAATATTTCTGTTCGTCCTAAACACATTTTTTACCGTCCCCAGGACGATAGGACGCCGTTAGTCTCGAGCCCTGGTCCAAACATACTCCCAAATATGTTATAGTCCGACTCTGTAAAAACACGCTCTTTTGCATACTCACACGCAGTCCCAGCTTATCCAGATGGCGAAGCAGAGTTTCCATGTGACTGATTAGCTCATCTCTTGAGTGGGCTAAAATCAGCCAATCGTCCAGATAATTCAGGATGCGCATTCCTCTAGATCTGAGGGGAGAAAGCGCTGCGTCCACACACTTTGAAAAGGTGCGGGGGGCTAGGGCCAGCCCGAACGGAAGCACTGAATACTGGTATGCCTTCCCTTCGAAAGCAAATTTCAGGAAGCGCCTTTAGGTCCACTGAGGCGAATCAGTCCCCGGGGCGTATCTGTGCCAGGATCTGTTTTAGTGTTGTCATTCTGAACGCGCGCTTGTGAAGTGCTCGGTTGATGGGTCTCAGGTCCAGTATCGGACGGAGTCCTCCTTCCATAGCTCTATGCACTTTTTGTAAAGCTGCTTTGAAACAATATGTATTGTGAAAAGCGCTATACAAATAAATTTGAATTGAATTGAATCTTTGGCACCACGAAGTAGCGGCTGTAGAATCCGCTCTTCCTGCTTGCTCGGAGGGACACGCTCTACAGCTACCTTGTCAAGCAGACTGAGAACTTCCTGTTTTAGAACGGGAACGTTTTGGGGCAAAGTCAGTGACGGGCCATGGTGGTCTGCGTTTGAACTGGAGAGAATATCCGTGCTGAATTTTTCCCAGTAGCCACGGTGAAACACCCGGGATAGCCCTCCACGCGTCCAGGAAGTGGCACAGCGACGTATTAGCTCAACAGCCACCATAGCCACTGATGGCGGGTTTTGATTGGAGCCCCGCCCCCGCAAGGTTAGAAGCACAGGCGGGAGGGCGGCTCGCGGCGGGCATTGTGTGGTGTTGGCACCCTCACGCCCTCGAGAGGCCATTATAGGCAAGGGTTGTGGCTGCTCTGAGGCAGTGACACAGTGTTGGGTGCAAGAGGAAGAAAAAGCTCTTGTTGTGAATGGATACACGTTTTTATTGTGTAACTCACACCAACAGAAATAGATTTTTTTGGCACAGAGGTGCCGAAGAAGTGCGGGAACTCGCAGATGACTGGAGCGAGCGACGGGGCATCAAGTGGCTCATCGCCTTGGCGTGCTTCTGCGTCTCGGAAAAAAAACGCTCCATGAACACCATGGAACGGCCGATGGCCTGTGCAGAGCGTTTGGTAGCCATCAGCACGAGGTCCATTGCTGCGTGCAGATCCCTGATGACGTCCGCGTCAGCTGCGCCGCCGTCCAGGGATTGTAGCAGTTTTGCCTGGAACACCTGCAGTATTGCCATGGCGTGAAGAGCAGAAGCTGCCACCCCCGCAGATGCATATGCCTTGTCCACCTGGTAAAAGCTTGCATCCGCGAAGCTGACGCTCGTCATCAGGGACGAGCGTCAAACTCGTCTTCAGGCGGGGGAGGGGCCACCAGCTATTGCTGGCAGCAGTGGGCGTCATCCCCGCTGTTGCCCGAGCCACTTCTCTTCTGGCCCTGAGGGCGCGCACTGTCAGCTCGGCGCAGTGGGCGCACGTGTCATTTGTGAGTGCCGCCTCGGCGTGGGCGTGGCCCAGGCAGGTGACACAGAGCTGGTGAAGGTCGTGCGGGTCAATGGGACAAATAGATTTTCCCCTACGGGATACATATCTGGCATGTAGCAGCCATCGGATGCGGAGAGGAAAAAACAGGGGGTGAGTAGTCCTCTATAGCAACTTCCACGATGACTTAAGATATGACTTCTAACGTGAAGAAAGAGATTCTCACGTAATTGTCGCGCCCATGCAATTTATACTGCCCGCGAACCTGTCAGTATTTGCATGCTTCGCGTCAGTCGGCCAGCTGTCCCCAGCTGACGTAAGCCCATAAGATTTCAGCGAAAGTGGAGAAGGGAGGAGTTCCCATGTACGTCACAGCTGACATAATGTTGAGTTACTGCCTTGAAAGGGAACCCAAGAATATAGCAAACCTAGGCGTAGTACTGAAGGAAAATGAAAATTGAGCGCAAGTACGTAGGAGGGCGGAGCCAGGCTACGTCTCACCAGTCACGCAGAAAAAATAAAATGGCTTCCCCCATACAGCAACTGGCGTGGTGGGATCTTCAACATAAATCTCACTTAATTGGACAATCATTAAGATGTCAATCATCACACTGAAAAGTATTTCACTTTGATTTTACAAATTTTCTTACACTCTTTACTCATTTCTGATTAGTTAAATTAATTCTAAAAAGGTAATAATTAAAAGTCTATTGAAATAATTGTTTAATTATACAGGGTTACATCGTGCACAGACAGACAGTATTCTAATGATAACTATTTTCGTGGTCTTCCCAAAATTATACAAATACCATTGTATTTGATGGATAGAACTGGAAATCGTAAGTTATGCATGTTTTATTTTTAATATGTTTTGTCAGTGAGTCTCAGACAATGTACATTTTTTGTACATGTTGTAATGTGACGGCACACCTACTTTCCCAATATCTTGTACCGTTAAACATGGTATCGCGTGGATGGAAATGATATCAGTAAAACTAGCAAAATCTAGCTTATGTGCATAATGCACACTTTTAGGATGAAATCTATGGAAAGTTTTATACACGAGGCCCCAGAACCAGAAGTGTTGCAACCTGTTTTACAGGATACGGAAGTTTGCACTCAAAAGCAATGACAAATACGTGCACGCAGCCAACCCACCCCATCCACCACCCCCTCTTTATGTTCTGGGATAACTCCATCAAACCTTTTTTTCTAAAAGTGCAGACCAAACCCTTAAAACTATTTGAAAGACAATCAGGATTTCAGGTTTCAGACTTCAGGTTATAAGTCAGGTTGTAAAGCCTGCATTCAAATTCAAAAGTATTTGAAAGTAAATGAAGTATGAAAAATGTTTTTACCCAACACCTAGATTAAAAAAGATTAGAAGGACAAAGGTTGTTGTTGTTGAAACCAACCTTGTAGACTTGCCTCTTTTGTGCTTGAAGAGCAAGACCTTAAAAATATTTGGTATTTAGAAATATTATAAATTACTTACAATAAATGATTATATTTTTATTAAATACATTTATATAATATAAATTATTAACAAAAAACACAAAATAATAAATCAGCTTTAATAATGCTATAAAATTATTTTTTATTTAGTAATGCACACAGGAGCAAGTAATTGTGAAAAGCAACAAATAGGGCAGAGGTTGCTGTTTTGAGCAACATTTCTAAACAGATTTCAGCTGTCATACTTACCTGGTATTACAGATTTTGTCAATGGAGGTATTGTGAAACCTGTGATTGGAAATTGGAGAGGAGAGTTGGCTGGTGCAAGAATAAGACTGTTCAAGTTTGTCCCCATTCTGAGGGACAAATGAAGAAAAAAGGTTAAAAATGCATGTCGTTATATCACAAACAAAGTGTCTCTCTGGTTGAGGACGGACTTAAAGTGATAGTTCAGCCAAAAAAAGAAATTTATACAGGTTTAGAACAACTTGAAGGTGAGTAAATTACAGAATTTTAATTTTTGGCTGAACTATCCCTTGTGTTTCTGGCACTCTTACTAGTTTCTCTTACAGATAATATGGGTTAAGTCAGTCCTAAACTAGTGATAAATATTTATTGCATGTAGGACAGACAAAGGAAGGTATGACACAGGAATGCATTGAACAAACAAGTTCTTTATTTGACAAGATACAACACGGCTGCTTAAATAAAGAACTGTGTACTGCTGAAATAAATAAATTAGAAAGCCTTATGAACCTGAGTTGGTGTTGCCTGTACTCCTCCGCTCTGCGTTTTAGAGTGTCATTCAGCATTTTTTTTGGTACATGGTGTCTTGTGAGCGCAGCTCCTTTACTGGAACACGATGAGCGATTTGTACTGAGAAACGGTCCAATATTGGGGTAACTAATTGGGATATATTAAAAGATCATTGAAATCATGAGCCCCTTTTAAAACCATACATTTGTTCTGCTGTACAAATGATTCACTTACTTTCGTTTGATGAAATCAGGATGAGGGCTAAAACTGTTGAGCAAACAACAAAGGCACCCATTAAAACTGTTTTTATGTAGTGGATATAGTCTAACAAATAAAGGGAAAAATGCAGCCTAATGCTTATGGTTGTAATACAAAGAGTGTAATGCAAATCCAGCCTGGTCTCTTTATTAATAGAGTGGTGCAGGTATGACGTCAGAACCTAGAAGTCGCCGCTGGTTCCTTTGAGATTTTCCTATGGGGTTTTATAATGGGGGTTTTCAAGTTATGAGTAAAATAAAGCCTGTGGTAAGCATAACTTGATACTTTGATGTTTTTTTCCCTACAATATACACAGCACACACTCATACTCCAAGCTGTCTTATCTAGTTACTTATTAAAAATTTACATTTTCAAAAAATGAACATAACTGCTTCAAAATTTGTGTTTTATTGTTTCTGCCACAATAAAAAATAAAAAAGGTAATTACGGTATGAGTTTTCATCTCACATTTCAGATTTTTTCTCGCAGTTGCGAGTTTACATCTAGTATTTCTGACTTTTTTCTCAGAATTGCGAGATATAAACTCGCAATTCTGACTTTTTTTTACTTTATAACACAATTGCGAGTTAAGTAAGAATTGTGTATAAATTCACAATTCTGAGAAAAAGAGTGTCTTTTTTCCCCCTCAAATTGCACTTGGACAGAATTGGAGAGAATTTAGGCTATATATCGCAATTGTGAGAGAAAAAAGTCGCAATTATCATTTAAAATGTTTTATTCTGTGGCGGAAACAAACTTCCATACGTTTTTGATATGTTGTCAAATATAAAAGTCCCCATTATAAATGGTTTTGAAGGAACCAGCGGTGAACTAGTCTTCTGGGTTCTGAAATCATCCCTGCACCACTCTATACATAGATATTAAAGGGGTCATATTATGGTTCTAAAAAGAACATTATTTTGTGAATTTGGTTTAATGCAATGTGTTTACGTGGTTTTAGGTTAAAAAAAGTCATTATTTTACGCATACTGTGCATATTATTGCTCCTCTATGCCCCGCCTTTCTGAAACGCGTCAATTTTTGTCCGATGATGAAACACTGGAAGAACTAGTTATTCAACCCGAACTCGAGCAGGACGTTTCTCAGTGATACGCTACTCAGTTTGAGGCACATTATGAGATGTTACAACTGTAATTCCTCACCATCAGCATTAACAAGTGCATGTTCATCAACAAACCGATTATTTTACTTGTACTTATTTATTTACAGAGTATTTTTCTCATTTATTGCGGTGAACATGTGGAAACTGTATCAATAACAGTGCATACATTAGCCCTTTTACTATTCTACTGGTAAATTGTAGATCTCTTAACCCTACCCCCAAACCCAAACATAACCGTTTTATAGAAAATAAAAAGAATATATAAAATGTAATGGAGCGAAATGTGTAAGAAAATGACACTTTTAGCAACAAAATAGCATTAAAAATATTTTGAGCTGCTTATCCCTACCTCTACCATTTCTTAAAAATATGCAGATCAAGTTATTAATTGCTGAGAATCTTATCCCGAGTTACTCTATGCAATCTGTGATGAAGCAGGTGAGAGCCAATGAGCTTTTGATATTAAATGTCAATACGTCAACATTGTACGTTTCAGTGTGTATGAAAACGCAAGAAAATGCAGGTGAGGTCGAACCACACTTTACACAAAAATATACACGAATACTCATGAGATCACGTTGGCAAATCACATTGAATTAAAGTGACTTTTAAAAGAAACAAAGATAGATTGAGGGGGAGGGTGAAAGGTTATACTTGTACCCATATGCTATTACACTTTTCATGATATTCAAGGCCCCCATTTGGATAAAACAAATGCCCAGTGCAGTGCCAAGCAGAAGCAAGAAATATTTAAGCATGGGGTGGTGGCAGCAGTTCATTATAGAAGATCTGTAAGGACAAATAGTTACATCAACTATTAGTTACAGAAACAGCAACAAGAACAAAACTTTTTTTTAAAACATTAGCCTACGTTATGGTTGCAGTTTAATAGGCCTAATGTTGTAGTTAAAATTTTTCTTTCATCAATAATGCTGTTATTGGCGAACACATTTTACCATGAAGCCTATAGGCGCCGATCCGAGCACCCACGGGAAAACACGAGATATTCTCTATTCATTTTATCCAAAAACCCATATCGGGAACCTCTCTTATTGATGGATCTCGTAACACAATTCTACTATTATAACATAACAATGACAAAAAAGCTGGTGAACCTAATTTCACCAAGTACAACATGTACCTGGATCAACATCTTTGTTGATACTGGAACAACATTTCAATCAACCAATCAGATTTTACAGTTAATGTCAAGTTTAATTAAGCTTACAACCAGGGTTAGGTGCTTTTACATCAGTGTTATTCACCCATCATTTCCCTCTGATTTTAGGGATAACTTATGGGTAGGTTTAGGGGTAGGGATAGGGTTAGGACTACATTTTCAGAGAGGAATGTTGTTCCTGGGTGCCATTTAGCAAAAATACGGTGACCCAAACCACGTTCTACGTTCACAAACCACTGTTAAAAAAAGAAAAGCAAGCATACTGTATGTGGGATTTGGCATGGCAAAAGAGCACTTCCTTTTTAATCACTAAAGTGGTCACTGATTTTAGATTATCGCAATCTCACAGAGTTCTGTTATAATAAATGAAGCTGACTGCACAATGAATCTCTTTTATTTAACGTCTACACTGTTTGTTATGAGATTTTCGAGCGTGCAGAATTTATAATGCACTCCATTCACCGCTCAAAAAGCAAGAGTTTTTGTTCAGTGCTAACTTGAACACCTCTGATTGGCCATTGTGTTCAAGAAATCAACAGATATGTTTATAATTGGCTACATTGCTCGACGCTGCAAAACATAAATCAGCGCCTATGTCATGAAGGTAAATCAAAGATGTTATGTTCATATGTTCACATTAACCAACAGCTTAATTTGGCTTAGGTTTCTATAATTTTATTTAAAAGTAAATACAGCGCAATCAAATCTGTTTTGCTGGAATGTAGAATATTTTACGCCATTATTATATTTGTGTTCTTACAAAAAAAAAAAAAATTTAACATATTTAGCTTCAGACAGGTATAAAATAATAATTATAAAGAGAAATAATAAGAGAAACATACCGTTCTGTCATCTGACGTTTAGTTGCTTTTTCTTTTAATTTATTCACTTGGTATTTACATTAGTATCTTCCATTTCTTACAACAGAAACTGTTGCCTACAAACTTGTATCCGTTCTTCCAGTTGGCTGAGTTTATAAGGTCAGTGTTAGGAGGAGGGGTTGGTTTTCAAGATAAGGACTAATCAGGTAGCTTGTATGTTTCATTCTTATTCTGTATAACCACCACAAATAAAAATTACACATTGGAACTTCTCAATGGAACCACTCTAAAAGTTTTCTGTCAAAAAATGTAAAAATATTATAAAAAGCAATTTGGATAAAGATATGAATGTTAGTTAATAAAGATAAGAAACAGTTTAATTTTGATTTACATGCATGTTTTAAATTATGATACCTGAGTGAATGTGATAAACACCAATATTCAGTAGTCAATCAGTCTTTCAAAACCTGACTGTAGTGAGAATGATTAAGTTGGATTTCATTGTCTTTACAATACAATATAGCTTCACAAAGACATGTCTCTCCTCATGTCATAACAGTCTTTAAAATATAATACATTTTAAATGATTCTTGAATAAATGATTCAGCTTTTCTTAATTTGTTAATAAATGATAAATGAACCATTTACCCTGTTATCCTTGTTACTGGATTATTGGCACAACACCTCCATTCAAAATGTTTAACAAACACTCTTCTTGTTCGGGCTTCAGTTTGGAAATGCCAGGAATATTCTCCACAACAGAGCGAATTGCATCCCGTGTCTCCATATCCGCGGTCATTTTCGATTTCCCCAATCTTAAACTCGGCGCTTAGCGTCTACGTCACGGCTCTCAGCCCGCCCTCTGTTCGTTGATTGGCCGGCTGTTTTCAGGCCGGAGGAAAACTGAGAGACATGTCGATGTCTCAGACTAAGTACAGAAGCGAAATGAAATTGAGTGGAAGTACGAAGTCTGACGTAGTCAGGCTACACCAGGGTGACTAGGAACATGAAATTGTCCAGTCATGACTTCTTGTTTCACAGGAGTTTAAATATGAGGAAACACAAAGGCCAAATTCCCTTAATCATCAGAATGAGTAAAACCAAACAATATAGTTCTGATGTGCATCAAAAAATTGTTGAGCATCACAAAATAGAAAGTGGCTGTAAGAAAATAGCTAAAGAATTGAAAATCCCCATTTTGACCATCAGGGCAATAATTAAGAAGTTCCAATCAACTAAAGAAGTTACGAATCTGCCAGGAACAGGATGTTTGTCTATATTGCCTTAATGGATGGTGAGGAGGAAAGTTTGAGTGGCCAAAGACTCTTCAAGGATCACACATGGAGAATTGCAGAGATTACTCGAGTCTTGGGGTCAGAAAGCCTATAAAAAATATTTTTTTTTTAAATCAAACAACCCCTACATCACCACATGTTGTTTGGGAGGGTTTCAATAAAAATCCTCCTCGCTCATCCAAGAACAAACTCCAGCATATTCAGTTGTCAGACACGACTGGAACTTCAAATGGCACAGGCTTCTGTGGTCAGATGAAACTAAAAATAGAGCTTTTTGGCAGCAAACACGCTAGATGGGTTTGGTGCACACAAGGATAAAAAGTACCCCATACAATTTAATATAGCGTTGAATCTTTAATGTTGTGCGCATATTTTTCTGCTGGAGGTCCTGGACTTCTTGTTCAGATACATGGCATCGTGGATTCTATCAAATATCAACAGATAAAAAATCAAAACCTGACGCCTTCTGCTAGAAATCTTATAATGGGCCGTGGTTGGATCTTCCATCAGGACAGTGATCCAAAACAAACATCAAAATCAACACAAAAATGTGTTAGGGAGCACAAAATGAAGCTTTTGCCATGACTGTCCCAGTTCCCTGACCTGATGAGTGGGGTGAACTGAAGAGAAGAAGCACCAACATGGATCTGGGAATCTGAAGGATCTGGAGAGATTCTGTATGGAGGAATGGTCTCTGATCTCATTGTTCTCCAAATTCATCAGGCATTATAGGAGAAGACTCAGAGATGTTATCTTGTCAAAAGGAGATTTTAAAAAGTATTTAATAAAAGGGTGCCAATAATTGTGGCCAACGTGTTTTGGAGAAAAACATTTATTTCATAATGTGATTTTCCCCCCACTTTCAATTATTTTACTTCAATGAAAGGTTAGATTTTTGGTAATTTTTAAAAATCAAAAGGATAAATGATGCGGATTTATTTTTTTACAGCCAGCCCAGTTTTGATCATATTTACCAGGGGTGCCATTAATTCTGAACACAACTGTAGGTTTCTTTGAAAAATACCTTTGTTGTCTAAAGGTATCCCTTTATTATCAGAGCATTCATCAGACCTTGTTTCACCAAAGGCACAACTAGCAATGAACAAAAGCCGCGTTTCCACCGCAATTACCAGGAACTTTTTGTCCCAGGAACTTTTTTCATAGGAACTTTTTTTGCCCCAGAACGGTTGCTCACTGCGTTTACACCGTGGACTAAAGTACCGGGAAGATTAGTCTGGTGACGTTGAACTGCGTGCGACTGCTCCTCCCAGTCTGCGCGTACTTGTTTTGAGTTTTAAGTATTGAGGAGATTCAAGCTGTGCAGTTTTTGTGTGCGATCTATTGATTTACTAGACAACGTTTGTTATCAGCTATAGCGGACATGACCGTGAGATGGATGGGACGAACGTGCGCCATCCGGCAGAGAGAACAAGGTAAAAGAACCAATCAGCATGTTCAGCGCACAAGTCCCACCCCGAAAGTTCCTGAACTCTGAAAAAGTACTACCTCGCCAGCAGGGACTTTCTGGGGGGGAAATTTTTACCCGGAACTTCATTTAGACCCTGGTTCCTGCGGTGTAAACACACGGAGTACCACCCCAAAGTTCCTAGTTCCTGGGGAAAGTTCCTGCGGTGGAAACGCGGCTAAAGAGAATAATAGCTTACATACAAACCAGAAACCCTGTAAAAAAACATAACTAAGCCAACCCACCGCATCAATCCCTGCAAGGATTTAAAGACTGATAGACTAAGCCAACCCACCACACCACATGTGACATGGCCAGAGAGTCAGTCAATCAGTCTTTAAATCCTTGCAGCGATTGATGCTTCTGCCTTTTGTCTGAAACAACCTGCCCATCTTCATTCCACAGCGTGTTGAAATAGACCTGTTTGTTTGCCACTTCACCAACCAGTTGAAGATACTAGGGGTGTGCAAAAAAATCGATTCACATTTGAATCGCGATTCAATCTTTACCGATTCAGAATCGATTCATAGAATTCCAAAAATCGATTCATTTTTTTTTTTTATGGCGTGCACGGGCGGAGTGGCAATCGGGTGAGTCGGGACTTTTACCGGTGGTTCGGTACACTCAAAAAAATGATATGTTGGCTTTACTTAACTTTTTTTTGTAAACAGGTTCCACCGGTTCCACATAACTATGTTTCGTTAAACAAACATAATATGTTCATGTAACTTCAACATCATGGAATTTGGTCATTTTAAGCGACCCAATTAAACTCTGAGCTAATGAGATAATTAAGCGAATAATTGAGTGATGATTGAGCATTATTGAAGACACCTGATGTTAACAAGCAGAATCTGTGAAGGAGAAAACCGGAATGTTTAAGTCACCATTATGGAGATAAGTATTTGTTTTAGTTGGGCTCTTGACCATTAACTTATTAACTTTAGATTTTGTGTGGTTGCTGTACATGAGTTATAACAGCCGGATGAACAATAAACAAAGGTCATCTGATGGTATT